TATCTAGCACCTAGTCTCTTCCTTACCTCAGGCTATATCCCTCATCTATCAAGAGTATAATCTGATTGTTCGCATAGAGCTATACTAAAGACTTTGCGCCTCATCTTATACCTTGATATTCAAATACTATTAAATGCATTAACAACATCCACAACCTAACTCTCATGAATCAATCTTGTGATTTTCCCGCGAATTCCAAAAGTCTCTCCGTTATCTCGCCCATTATCCATCCCCTCAAACAATCACGACAATCCTCCAGGATTCTCTGTACTTATTTCTTTAACTTCAGTTGTAAAGGGGTACATGTCTCTCTTTACAAATTAAACTCTAAGTCATCACGTAACTTCCACCACGCCTTTTTTCACCATTTTCTACATTTTATCTTGCTGCCTCACGACGTCTAAGGAAGAAAATTTCCTTATCATGGCACCGTTACAGCCTTCATTTCGTTATGATCTCACCAATACATACAAAGCTAGAGTTTCGGCATTTCAGGTGATTGGTTTGGGTTAAAAAAAGGTCATTATCGAAACTGCTCCTTTTTAATTCCAGCCAGTCGGAATAGCGATACTTTGAAGATAATGGAATTATTTTTATAATAATGATACGAAACATAAGGATACACTAGGTAAGCATATTAACCACTTTCAATTTGAGGTTGAATTCGATTGAGACGTTTAATTATCCATGACAATATATCTTTTTTCCAGAACAGTTCTATTAATCCGTACTAAAAATAAGTAAGTTAATAAGGTTTTGTCCAAGACATGGGCATAGTGTTGCAGAAATTTTGCTAAACCTCAAGATGCCTACAGAGACAGTTTGTTGTTGGCTTATAGCATGTTCAGAACGAATATAGTCGATTGGACGTGAAGCACGGAGCTGAAGGATTTAACTTCAAGAATTGATTAAAAAAATGCGTAGTATGTAAATCTATATACATATAAACCACCAGTTGAAAGGCAGAATAATAGAGGAGAAGTTGAATTTGAGTTAAACCACCATCACCTCACCTAAAATGGTTCCAAAACCTTTTTGTGGTTCATAAAAGCACATCAAAAATAAGAATAAGCAAGACAAAAACCTTAAAATATCATCAATTGAGATCATCTGTAGTGTTGTCCAGATAACATTTTATATGCGCAAGAAAAATCTTGGAACCACTTGTTTTCGTAACTGTAAAGGTTATTTCCATTGGTACCCAGCGTTTATTGAGTAGCATGGAAATTAACCCCATAAGATCGTATAGGATTTTACAAGAACACTTCACTATCTATTTGGTTCTTAGACATTCGAAACATATAGTTAATAAGTTATCTATAAAACAACTACCGATGGTCTGCAAAAAGTCATTGAGGTCACAGGAGACTTGACTTACTTCAATTATAAGGAATGATGTCGCCTCTGATCTCCGAGGTTGCTTATGGGCAAGGTGCTAGAATTTATTTATCAACACGAAATCGTCAATAAATATATTCTTATAAGATTGTTAAATACTTTGCATCCTTACAAGGCATATTGGAAACGATTTCGTTTTAAATCGCCGAGGTTGATTGTTTGAGAGGCATTCGAATCCTCAAAACATGTCGATTTCGTGTTGATATATCAAATACAGCGCCTCACCTGCAAGCGACCTCGGCGATTTGATGGCATAGGTCTTCTTATGAGAGAGTTTGTATCTTTACCTATGACAGACGATTTCGTGTGAATATATTAAATACACCCGGAGATTTTAATAGAAACCCCAAGGTTAATGTTAAATCGTATATCATAAAAAAGTCTGGTATTATAAAAGTTAAGTGATAGTACTGAAAGTCTTATTAAATGGCAGAAAGATAACAGAATATCGTTAATCGAAAACAAAACTTGGATAATAAGGCTGCAAGATAAAATTCAGAGGGAGCACATTCAAAAAGTGATCATCGAATATGCATTATTTTTTATGCCACATTTGAGATCCATGTAGCGCAGGATTCTAGAGTAAAAGTTATCTGCAGTTATTGCAGATTCATCTGGCGAAATGGAATGAGGTAAGATTAAATATATTTTGATATTCCAATAAACACTAATGTATTTGAGTACTCGCTGTATCAACAATTTTGCAAAATTATTAATTAATAAACTACAATTTCTAAAATGATCTTTTGTTAGCAAAAATCTTTAAATGAATTCATTATCCGACTGACGCTGATACACGGTCTATTCTTTTTTTGGGCGTCCACCCTGAATGAAAAATAAATCATTAATGTTGCATACGATTCATTGAATGTGTTAGAAACATTTGGAGCAAGATTTCGCAATAAATCGTACCATTTAGGATGTTGTAAACCCAAAGTAAATTTAAAAACGTTTTTGCCAGCTTTGATACATTGTTAGAAATAACAGCTGAAAAGTTAATCTCAAAATGTCAAAATCTGATTATCATCTTAAACCTGCAAATAAAGATATTGTTATTCTTTTAGAACAATGTAGCGATGAGAATATTGCCAAAGAATTCCATTTACATGTTGATGCATTTGACTCTAGAATATTAAATAAGGAGAATTCTCGAAGCGACAATAAATAATTACAGTTTTTTAACAATTACGATGGCCGATGAAGTTTCCAGTTGCAGGAATAGGCTTTAGAGTTAAAATTAAGATGCATTATGCATTTCATTCACATCTTGTTACGATATTAGTCAAAATTGTTTGTTGTTTGTGAATTTATGTTGAGTTCTTCGTATAATGTTTGGGGTGTCTTGTTCGGCATTTTTAGAGAATTTTTGTTTCAGTATTTTATACATCTCTGAGATTGGTTTTATTTCCGTTGTTGAATATAGATCCTCATTGTTTATGTTGTGGAGTGGATTGTTCGCGTGTCTAATTTTTTCCAGAATACGTAAACATTTTCTTTCTGCTTTCCTGATTACTGCCTTTGTTGACTCCGGGGAACATATAGTTGTGAGATGTTCATAATCGAGGAGTGATCAGCATATACTTTTATAAATTTGTGTCGCCGATTTTACAGAAAAACCCCTGTCTTTGTAGGTCAATGATCTAAAATGTTTTGCTCGTCTTGTTACCTCTGTTTGTATTTTTTTGTAGTGTGCTTTGAATTTCAACTTGTTGTCCAGGGTTATGCCTAAATATTTGACCAAGTTTGTAGGTTTTGTAATTGATGTGCCTGTCGTGATGTGCTGGGATTGATCGGTGATTTTAGAGTGTGGGATCAATAGTTTGAATTTGTCCGGATTGGGGGTGACTCTCCATTTGTGGAACCATGTTGATATGTTATTGTATAGCGTCTGTAGTGATTCTATTGCTATTTGAAGGTTTTTTCCATGTGTTATTAGGGTGGTATCGTCTGCATATTGAAGTATGTAGTTATCCGTATCAATATAGTTGATGTCTGGATGGGTTGGAGGGTATATATCATAGCAGTAAACGTTGTACAGGGTAGGTGAGATTGGGGATCCTTGAGGTAGTTCTTGGAGAGGGGAGAAAGGGAAGGATGTAGCGTTATTAATTTTGATGCTCAGTATCCTGTCGCGAAGATATTCATCTATAATTTTCAGGTAGAGTGTAGGTATTTCTAATTTATCCATCTTGTATAGAAGGCCCTGATGCCAGACTGTGTCGAAGGCTGTATTTATGTCAAGAAATAAGATCGCGGTTTTTCGGTGATGGAGTAATGAGTGGATGAATTGTTGATTGTTTCTGTTTGAAGCCAAATTGGTATATAGGGATTTTGTCTTTGATAACGTGAAGAATTCTGGAGTTAAGAATACTTTCGTAGATTTTCCAGTTACAGACAGTAGGGTGATAGGGCGGTAGCTTTGTAGAAGAGAATGGTTTGTTCCAGGTTTGGGGATTGTTATAATTGTAGCTTTTTTCCATGTTAATGGGAAAATAAGGTTTTGCATGCAGAAATTGAAAATTTTACGGATTAAGTTATGTACTTCTAGGTTTAATTGTCTCAGCAGTTTTTTGGTTATTAAATCCAATCTGGGGCATGAGCTTTTGCCTTGAGCTCTTATTCTTCTTGAGTTATTTCTAGTATTCCGTTATGCGCGTGGGTTGGTATAATTAGAAATCTTGTGTACCATTCGTTAATATATTCTTGGTGATGATTGTCGTAATCATGGTTTGGTTTGGGAGTGAACGCACTTTGAAAGTGTTGAGCAAGTATATCGCATAATTTGTTGATCTGTTCTATATTCCATATTGTTGTACGTTATTGTCGGAATGTCGCTGGTCTTCTTGTATTTTGTCACTTTTTTGAATTTGTGCCAATATGTTCTGCCGCGATCCGTTTCTAGTTCTTTGTATGTTTCTAACCAACGATCCAGTTGGTATTTTTGGATTAATTTTTGAATTTTTTTGTTTTCTCTGTTTAGTTCGTTTTTTAGCAATCTGTTGTTTGTTCGTTTATATTGTCTGTATATTCGTTACTTGTTGTGATTTAGGATCTATTAAGATGCTAGAAGTAATATAAACAAGTGCAAGTTTTTTTAATTTAATTAATTTTATTAATTCATACTTCATTCAAATTTAATTTGAAAGACATTGCTTTAACCAAAAACCCATAAAATTGGTTAAGCAGCATTTACAAAATCTAATAATTTATGTATATTACGAAATAAATTTAAATTTGTAACATTTGAAATGTTAAAATGCAATTATTGAGTTAAATCTTCATATAAATCTCTTAAAGATGTTCATCTAAACTCTTAAAAATGTGGTCATCCACCTTCTCCTTCCAATATCTTTATAATTCCTTCCAGCCCGTTTTCTAAAACCTCTTACCCGAGTCGATCCGTGTGAATGGGTCTCTACGTTACGGGGATGAAAGAACCGGAACGTTAATGACGAATTAGAATGCGGTCGTTGACCATCTTCTTTAGATGCTCGAAGCTTCGATCAGCTCAAAGAGTATAATATGAGTAACCAATTTTATAAATTATAAATTTCTCTTAAATAATGATGAAATTTTCGTTTTTATAGCGTTCAAAATGGAATGAAATTTCAAAAAATTGAGTAATTCTGAAAGAATGTAAACTGTAATAAAGTTTTAAACTTATATGAATATTCAGTGGCTTTTTCTGGGAACTTAAAAATAAACGAAGGAACGTGGTGACCTCGGTACCCCTATAATCTACATACCGTAACATTCCTGTTTCGTTAGTAAGGTCCATCGAAAAACGGTATCCTAATGCAGGTGAAGAATTGGGTGGTCAGTTTGGGTTATGGGTAAGGGGCAAGGTAAGGTCAAGGGTAGGAAGTCTTTATAAAAATGAACCCGCCCGTTCGGGACGAGTCATTAAGAAATTTTTCGTGGGTGAACTACAGACAACTTTTGATAAATTTTTAAAAAATGTTTTGTAATCACAAAATGGTAAAAATGTTCTAAAATTTTCTTTTTTAATTCTATTTTGTTTCATTTTTATATCTAGATTATTAATGGGTTATCGTTAATGATGCTGTTTTCGTTTACAAATGGATTCTTTTGGGGGTCATCTTCAGAACCGTGAGTTTTTTTAATTCGATACAATTTTGTGATAATTTTTTTGTTATTTGTGTAGCGAATCAACGCCAAAACCACAAATTTACGCTTATCCATACCCCTCAATTTATCATCAAAGATATTTACAAGCTCAACTTCACCAACAAGGACCTGTTCAACAAATACCAAATATTCCCCAAGAAATTCCTCACGATTTACAAAACCAAGGGGTTCCAGCGATCCCCATTCAAGTGCCGTTATCAGCCCAATTTTCTCCTATTCAAAATTTACACAACGTCCAACTTGTGCCGTGTTTATGTCCAGTTTCGCCAAATGTTGAATATGAAAAAGTACAAGAACCTTCATCTAGAATTTTATGAAAAAATCTTAGTTTAATCAAAAATATGTAAAATTAATATTGATACCTAAGACTGAAATATTAATAAAGATTTTATTATCCTCGAAAAATTTAATTTTCTATTATTTCTATTAATTTAAAAGTGAATCAAGGACATAGAATGTTTACACAAACAAAAAAAGGAGAAAAAGCCCCGCCTAAAAACAACGAAGTAAATCCCGACGAAAAAAAATCTACATGAAAAGTGAAAGTGTGTTCAGTCGTTGGAAAACGACTGTATGTGTCGATTGCGGTGTTTATCACCCAAGATTAATAAGATTTTGAGATTATTTCGGTTTTGATTATGGTGTTATTGGTGGTACTTTTGGTGTGTTTGGCGGTAGTTGTCGCGTATGATCCGTCGGATAAGGAGTTGAAGGCTGTGTTACCACAAACGGGGACGTTCGAGGCGTTCTACCTTCGTGGAGAGGAGACTGGATCGGCCCGAGCGGCGCATTCACACGGAAGCTTCTACAAGCATAGAAATCCGGCCCTGGTTGATGCTAAAAATGCGGCTGCTTATGGATACCGATTCGATGGGGGTAGAAGGTTTAATTATAATTGAATATATTTTTGATTGTAATATTGATTTTAGCAAAATGTAAAAATAAAAAAATTGCAATGATAATAATTTATTTATCAAATCAAAAAACTTAGTTATCCTTAATAATACATAAAAAATTAGCTATCACAAAATTTCAGAAGAATCCAAATCAATAGTTTCTTTCTTCCTAAATTTCCTTTTAACCCCCTTTCTTTGACTAATTTTCCTTTTCCTAGTTTCCTTTTTCTTTTCATGATGTTTAATCTTTTTCTTAGCATATAATTCGGGGTCAGTCACAGCTAATTGAGTTCTTGTACGTTTTCTTTCAGCCCTCTTAACAGATAATTGCTGTTGAACTTTAGCTAATACCTCTGTATATTTCTCCACACCAATTTTTTTCTTAATAATCCCTCCAACTTCTTTGGAAAGTTGACGAAGAGGAGCTTCTTTTTCGTCCGTCGTCACCATTTCCCGCACCAAAGGTGCCATTAAGTGATGAACATTTTCCAGAACTGATTCGTCGCTTAAAGCTATCGCTACTCCTGCGATCCACTTAAAAATTTCCATCCTCAAAGTTGTACTTGTAACGGCCTCTATGATTTCTCGATAAACAATTTTTCGCATTCGTTTTGTTAACCAGGTTAAATTGAGTTCGAGATTTTTTCCAGAAATTTTATCTAAAACTCTCGCGATGAATATTAGATTTTTAACGACTTGTTCAGCGAGATCGTTTTTTATTGAATTTGGTTGTAATTGATCACAAAGATCTAAAGTTAACGATTTTAAACAATTTATTGGATCCGAATATAAATAACCTGGACTAGTTTTATTTTCAATCATTAATAATGATAATTTATCAACCTCTATTGAGTTAAGCACAAAACCCAAAAATTGGGCTGAGGCCAATCGAACCCATTCATGAGGATACGCTAAAAGAACTTGAACGTGATTTGAGATATTTTCGATATCATCGAGTCTTTTAAAAAATCCAGGACAATTGTTGCAGATTTTAAGCAACATTTGTAAAAGTTGGAATAAGAAATGATCTTGTAAGCGTTCCGATTCTTCCTCATCATTATCTTCAGTTTCTTTTTTTAACTTCACAAATCGCCCAGCGCTCGAAGTTGAATTACTTTCAAATTGGGTTATAACTAACGGTAATAAAGCATCTAATCTTGATTCAAATTGGGCTTTTTCTATTTGGACGAAAATGCCACAAATTTGAGCCGATAAACGTCGATGGCTTATGATATTATCGTTTAGCCATAAAATAAGAATATCAAAAAGGGGGTCACGATCACTTTTTGGTAAAATTTTTAACATAGTTTGAAGACACTCGCCGATCATTTTACGACAAGTTGGTTGGGGATCGTTTACTAATCTTGCACCTAACGTTATAAAAAATGTTCCACTGTTTTCTTTAAGAGTATTCTAAAAATAATTTTGTTAAATCATTATTATAATAAAAAAACTTAATATAAAAGAAATATTTACTATTGGAAGTGATGTGATTAAATTTTGAATCATTTCAATCGCAGATTCGCGTCCTGTTTGTAATTCAAATTTAAGTTGTGACAAATAAAAGCTTAGATAAGTATCTAATTTTTTTCCAATCGGGTAATCTAACATAAATTGTTGTGCTACTGAACGCGATTGAGATCTTATGTGTGGTAACTCCGATGTTATACTCAACTCCATAACTTTTTTCATGATATCATAAATTTCTGGGGATGAAAACTTCCTGGATAAAAGAGCTTTTAAGAGCCCATAAGCTGTTGCTTGCCGATCGTAATCATGTAAATCTTGCTCAATGTAAAGTAACAAGATTTTTAATTGTTCTGGTTTTATTACATGGAATTTTAAATCTCTAACCAAAACAGTTACAGCCTAAAAGAATTAAAGCAATAATAACTGAAAAAAAAATACAAAATATTAATTTACCTTGAAAGATGCAACAACCAAATCAAAATTATCTCCTTTACTTAATCCAGAGGCTGCATATTTATGCAAAATTTTAAATATTATTTCCGTAATACTCTCAATATTATCATGTAAAGAAGGAAGGTCGTGTTTAAAAATCCATGGAAGACATTGTAGAGTAACTATTGTTAACTAAAAAGGATTTTATTTTTAATAAAATGAAACATATGATGGTTTAAAAGAATCGTATTCGAGGATTTATTAAGGGGTACTTTAAATAGGCTTGCAAAAAGTAATTTTGATACTGAATCTAAATTCTTAATACTGCCCCAATATGGTTTATAAATCAAGAAAATGAGCTAGTTTGTTACTAAACGCTATCAGTTTGGGAAAAAGGAGCTGACTTAAATATATAATTTTTCATTGGGAAGTTGTTAGCATTGCGTAATTTATTGTTTCCTAAAAGGTTACAATTTATAGTCTTCTCACTGCCACCAGTTCCCACATCCATCTCCTTCCCACCGCTCTCTCTTCCAGCACCTGCTTCCAATCCATCTCCTCTTTCCTCACTGCACGCCACCAACTGATACTGTAAAGACTTCTCCACATAGTCTGCACATACTCTCCTCATCCTCCATCCAACATCTATTGGCTCCTTCCTCATTACCACATCTAAACCTGTCTATCAACCTTCTCCCCTCCTCACCCTCCTCCGTCTTCAGGTACTTCGGTAGTCCCTCTGCTACAATTTTTGCATATTTTGGGTTGTACCTACTTTCCCTTATCTCCGTCCCTCTCTCTGGCATTTCCACATCCCTGTCCCTACTCTTCAGTTGTTTCCACATCTCAATCCACTCCTTTCTTTTCCTGTTCACTTCTTCCGTTGAATACCCCACTCTTCTGTAGTATTCCTCCCTTTCTCGCTGCCCATAACGACCGTCTCCTGCCTCAATCTCTCTGCAGCACTCCCCAAAATTTTACAATACTCTCGCTTCCTTCCTTTTTATGTATAGCGACTCTTACACGATCAATAGTATTGACAATATCAGTATTGACAATACAACTATCAATCCTCGTAGTAACCAGTCTCAATACTTCACTACCTTGCACGATCAATATTATTGTCAATAAGTTTGCTCAATAAGTTACCTTTTTAACACGAACAGAGTGAATCTACGTAGTTTTACTCGGTTATTTGTCGGTTATTCCCTTCCAAATATGGATAATCGCTATTATTTTGGAGTTTGGAACTACTCGTCGAGTGAAAAGCACTGGATGAAAGAATGTTTGAAGAAGATAGATGAAGATACTTAGTACTGTTGAAAGAAATCAGCCTCTGCGATATTGATGATTTCAAGAACTACTTTCAAATAGATGAAAGTACCTTTAACAAACTGAAAAGACAGGATAGCAGTATGAAAGTAAGTACAAGTGACTTAAATGAATAATTTTGAACTCTGAGGTACTTGGCCACAGGAAGAAATTTTGAAGAGTTGAAGTTTTCTGTCATAATGTCCTTAGCAAAGCTGTAATAAAAACCTTTGAAACCTTTATATGTATAAGACATGAACCAACTCGATGAACCAACAGTATCTCCATCGTGTTGAACATCACCAACGACAGTTAATGGGTCGGTCATTTTCACCACTTCTTCACAGGCGCGCAGCTAGAATTGAACTGAGTCTAATGTAGAAAATAAGAATTAAATCTGTTTCCAAATCATCTGGGTTAAAATAACATGTTTTTTCAGTGTGTTGATAGACATGTTTTGTTACTGTTACAATTAAATAAAAGTATTTAATTTTAAATGTTGAATTTATTGCACTGAGTATTGATGGAAATATTGGCGCCAACCCTACACGGTTAATAGTATTGTCAATATCCCCTCCAATTTTCAGTATTGATGCCCGAAAATCAGAAAATCCGGATTTTTATCAATACTCCATCAATATTTACCGTCAATTTTTTACCTTAGAGGGTCAATATGCTAAAGTATTGTCAATATATAATAATATTGCTGAGTTTGTGTCCTGCACATATGTTACATTAGTCTTTCTTTGGCATAAAAATACTTAAATTCTTTTCTTTAAATACTGCTTTAAATTTCAACACTAGTCTTCATTGTAAAGTGAGTACAGTTTACACTTGTTTCCACATAGGTTCTATGTGCAGTTTGTAATTCCATCTAATATGTGTAAAAACATTTTGTACAAACACGAGTTAGTTCACCTCTCACTTTAAAGTTGTATTCCACAGAGGCAGAATGACGTTTTTTATCCCAACTTATCTACCAGAATCGTTGAAAATGTTTCTTCTTTCATTAACAGTTAATCTTGCCATCTTAATTTTTCTTCTACAATTGTAGACAAATGCAGTTTCGTGTGATTTCAAGATGCTCTCGGGCGACTGGGAGATACAAAGAATTCGTAAAGTAAAATAAATACCTATACAATTTTTGTAAGGTTATAAGAATTATTTGCTAACAAACGTACACACTTATTGACGAATTAAAAATGATTTTGACTGATTTCATTATAACTTCCTACATGTGATAGTATGCTGGCCTAAATAACAAGAAAAAACAGATGAGAGAATACATGAAATGTAGGATTTTAAAATGAAACTACCCCAATGGTGGAATACCAGGCGAGTAGAGCGCAAGGCTCAGACAGCAGCTCCAGTATTAGCAGAAGTGGGTCTAAGGATGAACCTTCAAAAGATAAAGATCTTGATTCCAGATACTCCCCAATTTTCCATTAGAAATCATGTCATAGACTTAAAATTAGATGATGGAGTTTGATCCATGTTGACCAGTTATTTTTTATATAATATAAATTCAATAAAAAGCAATACTTTTTCTGGTCTTTTTCAATTTATTGTCTAACCGGTTTCGGCTTACGCCATCATCAAAGACATTAGAAGTATAGATTAGATTTTAGCAACTTATTTTCCATTTAAAATTATAAATATGAACACATTAAAACTCACGTTAAAAGTTAAAATTTACACGTTAAAATATAAAACAATACTATAAAACTTGGATTGACGGGCACTAACTGAGAGTAATAAGTTGCTAAAATCTAATCTATATTTTTAATGTCTCTGATGATGGGGTAAGCCGAAACCGGTTAGACAATAAATTGAAAAAGACCAGAAAAAGTATTGCTTTTTATTGAATTTATATTATAGAGATTTAAAAGACACCGAAATAACAAGAAGGAAAGGATTCACCTGGACAACGTTTGGGAAACTCGGCTTCATTATTAACCTGAAACGGAAAGTGTTCGAGTCCTGCGTACTAGTGGTAACAACATATGGTCTAGAAACCACTACTCATGAAAAAAAAGTGTTAATAAGCTAAAGACAAACCAAACAGCCATGGAGAGAACAACGCTGGGGATCAGTTTCAGAGACAGAGTACGCAATGAGGAGATCTGAAGACGTACTAGGATCATAGACGTAGTGGCGAGGATTGCTGATCTGAAGTGGCAAGGAAGAGGACTAGTTGCAAAACAAGACAGCATCAGATGGTAGAAAAAAATCGAAGTGTGGGAAGACCGCAACGGAGATGACTGGTTGATATCAAGACGATTGGCTACAAATGACGTTAAGCAAAGGGACATGGCAAGACATAGAAGAGGCCTGGATGATACAGGCGTGGTCCGATAGAAACTACCTGAGAAAGAAGAAGATACATAGTATTGCCTTATTTTAACAACGATTGTAGGCATTGTATGACGCATTAACCACTATGTCACATTATCCTTACTCTTAGTTAACTAATTAAGATAATTAACTCATTAAACAAGAAATTCAGGATAGAAATATAATTAGGTTTGATCTTTAACAGCGAAAAAAACTATCCAACTGTTTTCATACGTAATAAATGGGAGTAAACGACTACCTCAAAAACGAAACTTTAATTGATTATATATATTTTTCTTACCTTGATATTTTTAGATTCCAAACATTCCTTCATAATCGGTACAAAATCATCCAAAACTCTCCGATCTTCAACGTTTCCTTTTAAAATATCCCGTTTCAATAAAAAGTAACAAATTTTCAATCCAAACTCAACCATAACATGTATATTAGTCATATTTGAAGCTTTTAGCGTAGTTGTCCGATATCCCGATTTATAAACGGGTTCTTTTGGTATAATAAAACAATCCGGTTTTTCTCTCCGAATCCGATCAATTTCTTTCTCGGATAATTTCGACTGAATTTCACTCGCTTTTATTTCGGATGTGCTCTCAAAAACGATATCAAAACTAAACTTTAACATCGCATCAATTTCGACGTATTTATTATCGATTAATCCCAAAGCAATTTGCTTAAAAGCTTCTTGTATTTTATTAACGATTTTATATGAATGGGTATTGGTTAAAATATCTTTTATTGGGTTAACGAGTTGTCTTAAAGAATCTTTGGTGATAAACTGGGCGAGAATTTTAAATGTATCCATACTTTTTGAGGACTTTGCTTCTGAAACTTTGGTTGTGATTTTTTTAATCTCTTTTTCCTCTGATAATACCCCAAATAAATCTGTGTTGCATAATTTAATTACAACCGGTAGTATTTTATCTACATCGCCTGGAGTAAAAATATCTTTCATGCAACAAAGAACCGCGTGAACGGTGTATACCAAAACGTGTACTTGAAAACCACGTGGTAATAAAGGAACCATTTCATCAAAAAGTAATTTTAAATAAGATGGTCCTAAAGTTAACATTATTTTTTGTAAACTTTCTCTTGTTACTCTTCTAACACTTTCTAATTGTGATTTAAGGAACGTACATAGTTTTAAAAGGATTCTAAACAAATTTTTAATAAATATTAAAAAGAATTAATTTAATATTAAGTGTATTTACCCTGATATATTTGCGTCTAAAATCGTTTTTGGAAGTTTTTGCAATAATTTCACCAAAGCTAACGAAATAGGAACTCTTAATAAATCTTCTTCTTCGCGTTCCATGCTCGTTTTTTTCCTATTAACTTTATGACTTGTTTCGTGATGCGTCATTTCAGCTAAGCACCGATTTAATTGAGGAAGTAAAATATTTTTTATTGTATTAATAATCCTTAAGGCAGCTGATGGAGATAAAACGGTTATTTTTTCGTAGGGTTTAACAACAATGTTAGTTTCTTTAATTTCTTTATCAGCTTCTTCTGGGATTTCCCCCAATACTTCATCAATTTCATCATCTTTATCTTCATTTAAAACTATATCTACATCTACATCGCCTTTATTATCTTCTTTAAGATTATTAATTTCGTCAATTTCCATTTTTTCATCATTTTGTTTAATTTTCCTCAAATCTTCTTTAGAATTTTCGAGAATATATCCTTTATTTAAATCGAAATGAAACGAATCTAAGACGTTAACAATAAGTCGCACAATTTGTTTTTGATATTGAAGATTTTTTTTTAATTTGTTTAAATAAAACTTGAGTAATCCTTCATATTGTTGCCAAGGTAATAATCTCGATATAATCCCGATCGTTTCTATTGAAGAATCAATAACGCTATTTTTACCTGAATATTTTTCGTTGCATAAATAATAAGTGGTTAATGGTAAAATAAATTGCGTCATCGTTCGTACATTTGGCGTTAAATCGCATTCTTTAAATACATTACAAAACCTTTGTAAAGCTCTTCCGTGTCGGTGAGTTTGTAAATGGGTGATATTTTCAAAGAAATCCACTTCGAGATCTTGTTTATTCGTTAATTTATTTAAATCTCTTAAAACGACGTGAGCTTCCGGTGATTCTCTGGCTAAGTACCCCAATATTAAAATGCATTCATTTCTGTAATCATTATTTTTACTTTTTAATCCTGATCGAATTAAATTAAAAAGTGTTTCATCCAATATATATAAACGATCTGAGTAATTTGAAGTTGTATTCACCAAATAAGGGCTTAAAGTTTTCAAAGAATGAGTTGCGTGCTCTTTAAGTGAAATATCACTAACATTTTTAAGATAATAAAAATTATTGTAGATTAATAAAATTCCAAGTTCGATGTTTATCGATTTCTCATTAATCATGTTTAATAAAGTTTTAAAAGTTTCTGATCTCGTTTTGAAATCGGGTTGATCAACCCATTTCTGATCCCAAGCGTTCAAAGATTTTATTAATTCCGTTATCGTTTTATATTTTTCTGATGAATTCGAAATTTGGTCTAAAATTTTGCACAAAATCTTTCGCGATGATGGATAAGTAACTTCGCTAAATAATGGTGAAAGCTGTTTGAGATGTTTTTCGGGTTGTTCAACTTTTGAAATTAAATTATTTAGCGTTGAAACCATTTGTAATAAAGTTTCTTCGGGTGTAGTATTATCGACAGATTTCTTTAAAATAACGGGGAAAAGTAATTGAAGTAATTTATCGCAAATTTCGGATTCAGTCACCAATTCGGATAATCTCATCAAAATAAACAAATCTCTTTGGTTGATAGTTTTCGATTTGATTTCAAGGCGACGTTTAATTTTTTGCAAAATTAAAGTAACATGTGGTAGCAAAATACAACTCCCATAATTTAATTTTTCATCGACTTTTAATTGTTCTAATAAATCATCTTTGATTTTTACTTCATCTTCAATGGGGATTTTATTGTTTAAATCATCCTCGTTTGGTTGCAACGTCAATAATTTCTCAATCATTTCCATGATTAAATTAGAAACTGAAGGATGCGTTTTTTCATTAATCAACAATTTAGTGATAACCGGCAACGAATATTCTTCAGGATTTAATTTTGAGTGCTTAACAAGTAAATTAAAATATCTCGGATTACTTCCCCAACAAGCCAATAATTTTAATAAATTAGTCGGGCTATGAATACCTTCAATTGTTAATTTATTTAAATAGGGCCAAATAAAAACATCGAAAACAGCGTTAATTTCATTGGCATTCCAAGGATACATATCGAATAATTCAAAGAATCGATTAATTATCTTTAAAGATGATCCACGCAAATTTCTTAGTATCCCAAAATAACCGGCGTGAATTTGAGAGTGATTTTCTTGAGCAGCCCTCAACAAAGACCCAATAAAAAACACCAATTTTAATAAATATCTCAAAAGATCCGTATCCATTAATCCCCCAAATTGTTCTAAAATAACATTAATCATATTCAAACAACTTTGAAGTCTTTTTGGAGGGATAAATTTTTCTAAATTAACTTCCCCAATCACTTTTTTAACCATATTTTCCAAATCATCCCCCAAAAATCTATCGTAAAATTTAAAAGTCATTTTAATAAAACTTTTCATTTCATCCCCATTACAACCAGCAAGAAACCTAAACACCAAATTCCTCCTCAGTTGACCACCATTACTTTTCCCTCCGGTTCTTAAACCAGTTTTTACGACCATTTTACTAAAAACCAATTTCATAACGACCGGAATCAAGTCTTTTCTATGCTCGTTTTGTATCAGCGGAGATTCTTGATCGATGCGAAACATCACAAGTTCGTTTTTAAAATTTTTCTCGTCGATTAATTTGTATAAATGTTCGGAATATGGAGTTAAGTATTTAAATTTGTATGTCATTAAACAGTCTAACGCTGCTTTTTGAACGTCGGGGTTTTTGTGGGACAGAAAATCAAAATATAATCGGTATAATTCCGGTTCGCGATACATTGATTTTGGACTGCGTACTTTTGAAAACACCAGAAGATGTTGAAGTAAAGTTCTTAAAAATAGGAATTAAAAAAATTATTAAAGAATTAATACGTTGTAATAAGGAGCATACTTTAAGTTGGTTTTTCCTTTTGGTAAAGGTGGAGATATTTTTAATTCGTTTTTAATCTTTTCCTCCGATTCTATTTGTTCATTTTCATCTTCATTATCGACCTCCATTAATTCATTTTGTTTTATGTTCCATGTTAGAGCAGTATCTGTATTAGAATTTGTATATTCTTGTCTATAACAAATATTGTGTAATTATTAAATAGAATCATAAATAAGTCTTCTACATATAAGAAGATATCAGAAAAAATGGTGAATTGATGAACTCCATAAGGAAAATGTTATGAAAAGTCCAAGCACGTTGTTCAAGTATATCAGAAATGAGTTTCTAGCGATATCTCGAATCTACCGCTGTATGATCGCTAAACTATAGGATCTATATAGAATTAAGTCTAAACTTGGCTAATAATTTATATTAAGAATGGCATTAATTGGCGACAAATTGATAAAGAAAATATCAATATAAAAATGTCCAAAAAAATCTTGTACGATCCTGCATATCTTTACAACTATTCTCACACAACCAGAGATCTTCGAAACACAACCTTGAGAAAACACAAGATTGTCTCATATTATAGTCACCACCACTTGTAGCAAAGAATTTACATTATCTGCAACCAAACATTATGCGATATTTTTGGGGGGATCAATTAAATTTTTCTCAAAGTATATTAGTTTTGTGTCATGGTGCTGTTAATACGATTAGCTCAAAACCACTACATTCTTGTATAGATAGATTTTACATGAAAAAGACTTTTAAAAGACCTACAGATAATAAAGTATGAACTAACATGAACATTATGGAGATTGATGCATTTAACTTAAGATGAAAAATTATAATTTTGAAAAGTTTATGCAAAATCTACAATTATGGGAACTAGAAAAAGAACAACTTCATGCACGAATTTAGTAAAACTAACTGTATAATTTGAGAAATTAAATCAAAAACTATGCTATAGAGTAGAAATAATAAAAATCTTGTCATTTGTCAATGAGAAAAGCCTAAAGAAATCGAAATGTGCCAACTCATAGTGAAGATTCTCTGCCATATGTGTATATTATGCATCTGAACTATGGATTAGATGGACGAAAACTTCCCAATTGTGTTTCTGAAGCCAGGCTTTCGTCTGATTTGAGGTGTGCGGTCTTGCATTGTCAAGCAACAACTTAATTCGTTAATCTTCCTCTTCGTTTCTGTCGATTGGTCGACCGGTGTTATCTTGCTTATTTCACTGTTTATTTGAAAAATCTGAATAAAGCTAAGACTTTAGATTTGACTTCTACGCAAAAATTATTTTGTATGGGAGGATTCTTCAGACATCTCTCAGAGTTTATTGTTTTAACGTCTAGTGTCTGCTACCGGCAGTTTTCCTCAAACTCTTCTATTTGATTCCTTTAGTTAATATATGTATGTGTCAAATATAATATAATTGGGATTTCAAAAGAAACCTAACCTATCCTAACATTGCTTCACGCTATAATTGGAGTTTCTTCACGCTATAGTTGGGGTTCAAAAGAAAACCGACATTCCTTCACGTTATAATTGGAGTTTCTTTACGCTATAATTAGGGTTCAAAAGAAAACCGACATTCCTTCACGCTATAATTGGAGTTTCTTCACGCTATAATTGGGGTTCAAAAGAAACTAACCTATCCTAACATTCCTTCACGCTATAATTGGAGTTTCAAAAAAAACTGACCTATCCTAACATTACCCAATATTTTTCCAGAGTTGATTGACATTTATAAACAAAACTAACCTAACTCAACTTTTCTGTTCTGGAAGTCATTGACATTCTTTGTTATTTTGCTGGAGGCATATTAGGCATATATTATATGTATCGACTTAAAAACATTATTTTCCATCATAATGTTAATATATGGTTATCAGTGTTATCACTATAGCAACGTTAACTTTTAAATATATGCTATAAATCGTTTTAAAAAGAATGAGAAGAATTTTTGTGTTGAAAATGTATCCACGCATGTTGAGTAGTGTTTGTAAAGATTTGACAGAGGTAGAGGTCCAACCAGATCAATTAGGACTGGTGATGAAGTATGTTGTATTATTTTGACTCAATAATACTCAAGATAATTCTATACCCACTTCCTGCAGTACCCTTTTATCGATGGTCACATGTTTCTACTAAGATGTTTATACTGGGAAATAGATAATTAATAATTTGTGTCCTACTTTGTCAGAATGGATGTCACCTCTTGCACCAAATAGCTTGTGCAGTAAATAACAATGAACTACAACATTTAAAGATTCTTGTTCTGTCCCATTACTTCAGTATGAATGTGAAGACTTTTAAAGATAAATGAAGAATATGTTGTCTAAAATAATCAACTCTGTGTTTTATACTAATTCCCACAATCGCTAATTAATCTAATAATTGTAATTGAAATACATAACATGAGGCCATCAGCACAAAAATGGTGAATCCCACATTTTTTTGTTTGCTGTTCTAGTGTTATATACATTCCTTACATTACCAATTTTCAATACAATAGTAGAGTAAGCCACCTTTTGGTATTCAAAAGCAGATGGAGCTAACAAATCGTTTTTGCACAGAACATAATACATATAACAAAGTAATAGTGCAAAAATGGTCTACGTTGAATATAACACTATGTTTAATATAATAATAATAACCCAAACGAATTATATAGAAATAAATCATGAAACAATGGTGGTTACAGTTGGAGATATTGAAGAATCTGACTCTGAATATCTACCATCCAGCAAAGCAGAACTAGTTCAGCCACAAATTTACAACAGCCACAACCAAGCACGTCTAATTTAATAACAGCAGAACCGCAAGTATGTCTGGACAAGTGTCAGCAGCTGAAACCACAGATGAAACTCCTATCCTCAAAAGTAGAAAGCGTGTAAAAAAGCTAGAGACTTGGCAGCGAAATGTGTTTAAATTAAAACGAGCAGAAGGCGAACAATATAAAAACTACAAAGAGAACATTGTTCCTGCGAAGACACTTAAAACAAGCGAATGTTCATGTGCCAAGATGTCATCTAAAAATAAACGAGGAACGTCAGCTGGAAATATTTAAAAGTTTTTACGCATTGGCAAATTTTGATACTCAGAATGCATTACTGTTCTCATTAGTTACAGTGACAAACAAATGCAGAAGTTACACGGGAAAAGAGGAATCAAGAAGACAAAAAACACATTTATCATTTATTAGGTGAAGGTGGTGTTGAGTTTCAGGTGTGTATACTCCCTAAGAACTTTTCAAGTTTCTAATGGACGTGTAACTAGGGTGTTGAAGCATACAAGTATTAATAGTGTTCCAACTGTTGATCGGAGAGGTCGACAAACTTCTGTAAACAGAACACCAGACAACAAGATCGCAGAGGTAAAAGAATTCATTGGCCGGTAACCAGTTTGAGTCTCATTATACCAGACATAAAAGTGAGAATAGGAGATATCTTTCACCGAATCTGACCCTTGGACGAACGTATTCTCTTTATAAAGAAAATACACTTGAACCTGTCTCATCTTTCATGTTTAGTAAAATTTTTAATGAATGTTTTAACCTACGTTTCCTATAATCAGTGATTCTTGCAAAAGATGTGATCTCTTTCATAACAAAATTAAATGTGCTGCGAGCGAACAGCTAAAACAAGAATTGCAACGTGAACAGGAATTAAATCAGAGGAAAGCAGACAGTGCCAGACAAGGATTAAAAGATGATACGACCTTGACAAAATCATCTGATGATGTCACTGTAATCACCTTTGACTTAATGAAAACCCTACCTACCCCTGCGTTGAGTACTGGAATAGTGTATTACAAGAGACAGCTTTGGACTTTTTGATTTGGAATTCACAACATGGGGACAGATGATGCCTACATGTTTGTTTGGGACGAATCTGATGCTTCGCGAGGACCCCAAGAAATTGGATCTTGATTGCTTTACTTTTTTAAAAATTTTATGACTACTAAAAAAGTAGTCATGTATTCTGACCAATGTGGGGGACAAAATAGAAACATAAAGATATCATTGTTCTGTCAGTATGTTGTATCTCACCCAGACTTTACTATTGAACAAATAGACCATACATTTTTGGTCAATGGACATTCATATTTACCATGTGACCAAGATTATAGTTCAATAGAAAAAAATAAAAAATTCTTCAAAGAAATATACGTTCCAGCAAACTGGCTCGAAGTAATTAAAACGGCTCTAAAAAGGCAACCATTCAAGATAATACGGATGAGAGGAAGTGATTTTTCTCTTCCAAATCGCTGGAAAAAAATATAACCAACAGAAAAATTTCGGTTAGTAACACCAAGATGGAGTGGTTAAAAGTTAAGTGGCTAAGATTCCATAAAATTCATCAATTCTCAATTTTTTACAAGTATTCTAACAATGAAGATGTTCTCTTTAACGAAGTCAGTGTTAAAAAAAGGCAGTCAGTGACCATAACACAACTATATGTATTGGAAAAACCAATCATTCATAGCTGAAAAGAAAAGAAAAAGGTCCTTCTTCAATTGTTGCACTTCATCCCACCAGTACATCACACTTTTTATAGCAACCTGAATTGCTCCAACAGTGCCAGAGAAGAGGTGTATTATGATGAGACAGATGATGAATAGCTCTTGTACTATGTATTTTGACTGATTTCTTTACAAACCTGTCCTAAAGTGGTGTAACTTGTTTATTATTTTAAAATGAACCAAATATTAGAAATGCGAAAGCACACATTTTTTCCTATAATATTAACTTAATAAATACAAAAATACACAGCAATTGTAAATTTGAAAGTTCTTTTGTTCGCAAAAGAAGTTAAATTCAAAAAAATATTTATCAAATTTAAAATCCCTACCACTTTTATGCTGACGACCTCACATATACATAATATATTATAAATATATATAAATAATAAATAAAGATAACTTACTCAATAAAATTTAACAATAAAACTGAAGTATCTCTTGTTTTAGCTTCAGCAATTTCAGGAAAAAGTTGCATAGATTTCCACAACAAAACTCGATAATTAGCAAAATCAGCCTTTTTATCAATTTTGCTCACATTTTTATACAAATTATTTAAAAATTCATCATTAACAATTTCATCCAGTATTAAATTCTCATCCATATTTCTAATTTTATCACAAACACCTTTTAATTCCTCCGAAAAGATATTCCAAAACTTATTTATTTCCATACCCAAAGCATAAGTTGAAATTATTTTTGTAACAGGTTCCCATAACAATTTAAAGTTAACATACAAAATTCCGCATAAAAATCTTAAAGGGATTGTTACGAATTCCGTTTCTTTGCACATTATTATTTGGGGTTTGTCAAAATTTAATTTTTCTAACAGCATTAATTGTTCACGATATGTATGAACTAAAGGTTCAATTGATTCAACGTTGTAGCATAAAGAAAATACGTTCCAGTCTTCTATTGTATTCTCAAAGGTGAAGAATTTATCGAAAAGGGAATAAATGTGAGTTGTGTATAAACGGACCTAAAAAAAAAATCGAAAAGCATGTTAAAATAAATCTAACATCTATACAATTAAATTTAAAGTTACCTCATGAATAGGGGATGAAAAATTTAATTCCAAATAAACATTAAGTTGTTTCAATAATTCTTTGTTTAAATAACCTTCGCCAAGAGCTGTTAAAAATAAATCCAAACTTTGCAAAGCAATAATATTCTTCGATTGATTTGATAGTGGTAAAATAATTCCCATAAAAATATCAAGAAGCTTTTCTATTTCATCATTTTTTATATGAACCAAACTTTCAAATGTAAGTCCAAACAAAAACAAATTCTTTTCAATCTCATCTTTTTCTTGTATTTTTGCACTCAATACTTTTATATTATCCATTAAAACATCAACATTCTCCACCAAAGAAAGATGTGGTAAACAAATCATAGAATAAATATATTCTTCTTCATTAAATCCTTGTGTTAAAGTTATTTTTTTAAATAATGTTTCTTCAATCTTATTTAATTCTTGTTTAGAACCAAAACGTAAATTATATTTCATCCAGGAATTTAAATTAATTCCATTAACACATAAAGGCGATTTTTTAACAATTAATTTTGTTAAAACTTTTAAGTAATCTTTATCTAAATTGGAATCGGCAGTGAATTTGAGAAAAGCTGGTAGAATTAAAGCTTCAAATAAAGCACATTCGAAAACGTTTTCAATAAAATAAAGTAACAATTTTTTGTTGTCTAAACTCAAAACTGATCTGATTAAAGAACTAGATTCTTCTTGTTGGAGTTTAATATTTTTTGAAAGCAACAATAAAATAGTTATTTTAATTGATGTCATCAATACAGATTCGTTTAGATTATTAGAATTGAGAATTTTAAGTAAAGTTTGAACTAATAATGAAGGAGTTTTTAAAAAGATTCCTCCTTTAAATTCGACTCCTATTCCAATGCATTTTAAAAGGAAATTTAAATTTTGTGTTGATTTTTCTGAATTGATTAACAGAAATTTATCAATTTCGCAAATAAAAGTTTCCCAAAAGATTTGGTTGTTATTTGGACGAATATTTTCAACAATATTTTTTACAACTTCTTCTAAAACTTCATACCAAACGTTCGGTAAAGATTTTTCTTGCAAAATTTCAATAAAACAGGGCAACCATTGATCAGCATTGCTATGAAATGATGATTGTACCGTTGAAATTACCTCAAAAAGTAATTTTCCACATCCTAAGACACTCTAAAATTTCGAATTAATTAAACAATAACAAACTTATCAAGTTAATATGCTTACATCTTTGTTATGTTTTAAGCTTTTAATGATTAATAATAAAAACGCTTTTTTATCTTTCACCTTCCTAGTGACAAAAGCAAAAGATTCAGCTGCAAAGTTGTTAATATATTGAGGTTTATCATCAGACAAAAGTGGTATTAATGTATTAAATGTAACATTGATATTTTTCAACAAAATTCTCCATAAAATTTTAAATAAATAAGCTAAACATGTAAAAGTCCATTCTAATTGCTCCACATCTTTAGTATTTAATAAACTGATTATGATATCCAAGAAATTTTGGTAGTACTCATAAAAATCATTTCGTAAATCTTGAGCTAAAGCAACAACTAACCTAAAATAATTCAAAATTAATCCAATAAATAAAAATTTTAAAATAAATTTTACTCTAATAACGGCTGAAGAGACAAAATATTCTTTTCTTTTAAATATTTAATCAAAACCTCCACAATGTTTTCTTTATTATGAACCAATTGAGGTAAAGTTACAATCAAATGTGCTTTAACCTCTTTTTTAAATTTTCCATAATGTTCTGATAAATTCAAAACATTCCACTTTTGAATTGCCTGATTAAAATAACACCCAATCTCATCAGTTTCTTCTTCATTTTCATGTCCAATTCGATGAAAAACGTTTATATCAACGTTGTTTATTCGCTCAGAAAAAGGAACAAACTAAAACAACAATTTGGTTATGTTTAAATAAAATTATTGAAAATAAAAACTTTTTATAATCTTTTTTACCTTAAAAGTGTTATCATCTTTGTGCCTTGTTGATTTATTCTTCATTTTTTATGGTTAAATTATGCTTTTTGACACAAAATTATAAAAATCATGTAAAGCTTGACACATGTTAAAAGAACATAACCTTAAATTTTATTTTGAATACATGTGCGAGAAGTTTGAGTCAATGACGTAATGAATATGGAGAAGGTTCTTCTTTTCATGTTAAATTAATTTTAGAGGCGAATTAAAGGATTTTAAATTATAAAATTGGTTTTAAATATAATATTTCAGTTTTATGTATTTCTTATTATAATTTTAGTGTGAATTTACAGTTAAATATTTTCATTAACTTTATGATCTAAGGTCCTTTCAGTAAACATTCTGTATAAGGTTATCCAACTCCATATGAACGCTGTTGTTATGAACGTATCCCCCCGCAAAAGCCTTGCTGTGACGTCATTGGAAGAATTGATATTTCTATGTTTTTATTTATACAGTGTATTTCACTTAAAAAGCAATATACAAAAATATAAAAATTAAAAAAAAAGATATAAAATTTAAAAAAATATTAAAATATAAAGGAAAATATTAACGGTTAAAATTTTATTCTTTTTAGGTTATCCAACTTGACTCTGTTACCATGGTGATTAAGATCCAAATATTACAGGTGCTTGTTAAAATTGAATTTAAGTTTTTTTAAGGAAAAAGTCTTATTTAATTGGTTTAAAAGGCTGTATTTAACTCAAAATTGGTTTATCTAGGGAATTATAAACAAGGTATGTGGATTAAATCAAAAAAAGATATTTTTAATTTATTTCTCTTAATTAGAATCGATTTAAATTAATTACAATTAACGAATTTAATAAAAGTAATTAGTAAAGAATTCGCAATGTTATAAAATTAATAAAAATTAGGTTACAATTGATAAAAAAATCGGAATAAAATTTTATTATTTTAAGGTTATCCAACTTGACTCAGTTGCCATGGTGATTAAGATCCAAATATTGCAGTTGTTCATCAAAATTCACGTTGAATTTAAGTTTTTTTAATGAAAAACACATAATTAATTGGATTTAAAGGTTGTATTTAATTCAAAATGGGTAAATGGATGAAATTATAAGCAAGGTAAGTCGATTATATCAAAAAAATTTTTTAGATCAATTAAAATGTACAAGAATTTAGGGTTAAATAACAATTAAAACTAACACTAGACCTAGAAAGTTTTAGGTTTAGGCGGGCGTCTTACAATTAGACAAGAACTTAGAAAAGTCTGAAGACGCACGGCTAAACCAGAATATTTCTAGTTCTAGGTCTAGTGTCAGTTTTAGTTTTACACTATCACTAGAACTAATACAAGACCTAGAACTAGAATCATTCGGGTTTAGCCGTCTTGAGAGACGTGGGACTAAATCCGAATGTTTCTAGGTCTTGGTCTAGTGTTAGTTCTAGTGGCAATGGTAGGTAGCGCTAGTTAGCATGAGATAACTAGAACGAGAACTAGAAACAGTCGGGTTTAGTCGTGAAAAAAACTTTCAGTTGTCAATGTCAACTTTCATTTTATTATTATATTCGTAATCTTCATAAAATAACCTTTAAAGTGAGTCCAAACTTGACGCATTTATCTCAAAAAACCAAAAAGTTCGAACTTTCAATTTTTAATTTTGACATATTTGTCAACATCATAAAAAATTCTTTAAAATGAGTCCAAACACGACATATTTAACTTTAATATTAATGGAAATACAATCACTTCCGGTTTGAAACGTCAACGTGAATTTTGACATATTTGTCATCTTCATTAAAAAACCTTTAAAATGAGTCCAAACATGACGGACTTATCTCAAAAAACAAAAAAATATGAATAAAAAACGTTAAATCCGAAGATAGCTACAATGAAGATAGCAATTTAATTATTAAATATTAATACCAACCTCAATTTTTAATTTTTTTTATTGTATTTTTGTTTTTTGATAAATTTTAAGACATTTTATAAAAATTAAGAATTTGTCAAAATGACATTGACATTTCAAACCGGAAGTTGCTTATATCGCGACTAATATTGGAATTAATCGTATCATGTTTGGGCTCATTTTAAAGGATTTTTCACGACAATTACAAATATGTCAAAATTGACGTTAACATTTCTAACCGGAAGTTGACCATAACTTCATTAATATTGAAGATAAATATGTCGTGTTTGTACTTATTTTAAAGGATTTTTAATGAAAATTACAAATATGTCAAAATTGAGGTTGACATTTTAAATCTGAAGGTAGTTATCATATAATAGACAAATGGACAACTTATGATATTCTTTTATGATGTATTCTTTATTAAAAAAAACATTAAAATGAGTCAAGACATGATGTTGCTAGATATCACTATGCTGTATATTTTTATTGCACTAAAACTACAACTAACACTAGACCTAGAACTAGAAAGTTTCGGGTTTAGCTTTACTTTAGGTAAAGTGTTAGGTCTAGTTTTAATTGTTACTAAGCGTTAAATTGTTGTCTATTTTTACTGAAATAGAACTAACATTACACCTAGAACTAGAATGTTTCTAGTTCTATATCTAGTGTTCGGAAATCGAGGTACTTGACGACCTCAGATATCTAGATTAATGTTATTAGTTAAATGTTCTTAACAAACAATTTTCACATTTTTTTATAAAATGTTCTGATATAAGGGTACTAAAATGTTACGTCATCGTAAAGAGAAAAAGAATCTCTATCAAATGAGCCTATCGTACATTGCCATTTAAAAAACTTCAAGTATTATTCGTTGCTCACTTGTTTTCTGAAATAAAAATAATTGAATGCTGTCTTATTATGGCAAAGAAAATATTAAACAACTTTTGTATAAAATGTTTTTTATAAAGTTGATACTTACCAATATATATATTTTACTCCATACATAATGGGCATCCTGTATATTATATTATACTTTTCCTCCAATGACGTCACGTTTCCTACCTCACCCCGTTAACGTCAATTCGTTCGAGTTGGATAACCTTATAACATTGAGGTCTTATATATAATTATAATAATATTATGTATAAGATTATATTTATATATTATAAGATTATATATAAGACCTCAATGCCTTATAATCAATACTCAACGAGCCATGTTTATGATTGTAACATACATCAAAATGAGAAAGAGATAGATCGTAAGTGTTCAAANGTCAAGTTGTTCGAGTTGGATACCCTTATAACCAATACTCAACGGACCTTGCTTATGATCGTGACATACATCAAAATGAGAAAGAGATAGATCGTAAGTGTTCAAAATTAAAGTTATATGTTAATTAATTTCAAAATAGTTTATAATTTAAAGGTTTTTAAGTAGTGATTTGAGAATAATATGTTAATTAATAATCCTTTTAGAACTTTCTTGTATTTTTATGAGGGCTACTATATGACAAAATTTTGTATGTTATCCTAAATTAAAATAACTTTTGTTTATGGATTCTTTATATTGTCATAATACCATAACAGAACCAATTTTAACATCAAAACTTCCTTGATCTTACAGACATTCAACATCAACCGGCGTTTCTGTTGAAATTTCAGATGACAAACTACTTATTTCTAAATTTTCTATCATTTCTTCGTCTTATTTACGTTTTGTACCTTGGTTATTACATAGCCACTGGCTATTTCATGACTATTGTCTTTCCAATTTCCTTAACAGAACGCAGTAGGTAACAGAAACCCAAAGAAGAAACTTGGCATAGAAACTGTTTAAAATACAAGAACAAAAGCTGTCTTCTATCATCTATAAAGTGATATATTCTGTTTAGAATAGGTACCACACAAGATATACAAGCTATGAATTGGAGTGTTCATTTGAGATCTATAGTGATTTTAAACAGTCATATCTATTCACTTCCTAAAGCGTTGCCTCAATCCTTTAGTTTTTCTAACACGCGACTTAGCTCTCTTCCATCTTTCTTCTTGTCAATGTCTTTTTGTATAGTAGACATATATAAGAAATTCACATCCTCCATTGTTCCAGATTCATCCAGATGTCGTTTAAAATCAGCAATTACGGAAATTGTACATCTCCTCAACAGGTTCTGTCTTTCATGTGCTTCCTACCACATCTGCATAAAATAACGGTCTGGACGTTATCAGTATTTTACTAGTAAAATTATTTTTCTTCTTTCTTCGGTATCTTATTTACATGCCTACTTTTCTGTCTTTAGCGCTCTGCCCTCGGCTTCACCTCATGGTGTTTCAATACTGATCTTCCTGTACATAAAAGCATTCCTACTATGTCAACTCCTTTCGATTTGCTTCTTTAATCGCTTTGTTTTTGATTTAGTGGTCGTATATGAAATTTCATCAATATACATACTTCAATAACTAATGCTCAAACAACATTTGGATTTTCGGATCTTGAGTTCTTTTAACCATTACAACACCATGGCATTACTGGAGACCCCATGCGTAATATAAAATCGTGTATAACAAAAAGTCTGGTATTATAAGGATTAAAATATTAAATTTGTGATTCCACAGTTCGCAGCAAGTTGATGGTCAATCAAATTTAGCAAAACTGTATCTGATTGATTAACAGTTACTGTTGTAAGTTCTGGAATCACTTAATGATAGACTTGGGTGCGTTGAAAAACTTAATCTATGATTTGAAAATTCGTAACTACATCTGACCTGTTTTGTAACATTTCTGTCATAATAATAAAGCTTAGTAATACACTCACTCGTGTATTAGAGTTTAGTGTATTTGGTTTGTTTTTTCGATCAAATGAAACAACTTCTTTTTTGTAACTTTTTGGGCTGTGAATTTTGGACTGATTACATTTGGCTGTTTTATTTAAAAGTAACTTAACCAACAAGTTATACATAGAGAAATGCAAGCTAACCAAAATACAAAAGAACCCTAACAAGTCAATCCTTAGCAACTTAATTATGTAGTAAGCCTACTCCCAAGTGAACCCAACCCTATAGCAAATCCACTGAAAAATCCTGATGAAAAAAGGAATTACCACGAATGAATTCGCTACCAAAAATGTCACCATCCAAAAAATCCATTCAATGTGAGCAAAGTTTTTCGTGAATTATAATCATCCAAAACCACGTTCTTAAAACGCTCTTTAAGATTTATTTGATTGAAATTAGTTAAGAATACAATAAATTGTTGTAAATAACTAAAATTTGGCAAACAAAAATGAGTTTTTATTTGACACACTCAGTTTTAAACTATTCTGTACAAACACTACATTAAAATCATTAAATTCACTAAAATAACTTAAACTTAACTTCTAAGAGTAATCAAAGCTTTATAAGGCTTCGGTCCAGGTGTAACCCCATCTAAGAAATCAGTCTCTACAATAGTTGGTTCAGAACCATGAGGTATTGCAAAATCAAAATGTTGCAGTAATGCTGCCATAAAAATGAATAAGTTTCCTTTTGCTAAAGTTTCTCCCATACATCTTCTTTTCCCCAAACCAAATGGGATGTAATTTTCTGGAAGATTCATCATTTTTCCGTCTATTATATATCTATCCGGACGAAATGCTTGCGGGTCATTCCAACCAAATTCATCACCGTTAAGTATTCCATGAAAATTTGGAACAACCATTGTATCCTAAAACAAAAAAAAAATAAATAAAAACTATAAGTATCTAATTTTATTTTTAATGTTATTACTTTTGGTACGAAATATCCTTGAAGATATGTATCTTTTAAAGCTCTATGCGGAACTCCAAATCCACGTCCCATAAACATTCTTATTGATTCCAAAACGACACCTTCTAAATAAGGCATGCTAAAAAATGTTTTTTTAATAATTAAATAATTAATTTTAAATTAATTTACTTTGGTCTATCTTGCATTGTTGGTAAGCGATGTCGACCGACAACTGCATCAATTTCAGCTTGAGCTTTCCTTTGAACATCCGGATTTAATAGTAAATACATAAATCCAAAGCCAAAAGATTTTGTGGTCGTTTCAGATCCAGCCATGAATAAATCAATACACAACGCTAATAATTGTTGTTCCGTATAAGTGTCTGGTCGATTTTCTGAATTTAACATTTGTAAATAAACGTCGATAAGATCTCTTGCGCAACCATCCACGAAAGTTTTTTTATGTTTTTCCACTTCATCGATGACAAATTTCCATAAAGGTCGATGCGATTTCATGTATAAATTGTAACCAGAAAAATCTGGTGCTATAAATCTAAGTAAGGGAAATTGACTAAATAAAGCTCCAACCATATCGATGTTTTTAAATAAATCTGTTAATATTCTTTGTACTTCGTTTAATTCGAAATCTTCGGGACTATATCGAGTACCAGCGAGCATCATCCATAAAGTATTTAAAATATGAACACCACACATTTTATCCATTTCAATAACAGCCGAATTTTGTCCTTTTTCCATTTGTTTTTTAAAATGTAAAATCATCGTTTTTGCTTCGTCTTCGATCATCGCAGACATACTTCTTCTACCAAAACCAAATTCTCTTAAATGACGCACAACAAATTTTCTTTGTTCGTACCAAAGTTCTTCGTCCGTTAATAAAACTCCTCTACGAAGTCCGAACGTTCTTAATTCGTAAAATGGACCTGTTGGCCGACCAACCATATCGTTTGATAACATCATTTCTCTTATCGCATGCAAACCGTAGGCTACAACTATTTTTTCAATACCAACTTTTAATCCCACAACAGGACCGTATTTATTTGACAACTCGGCGGTTCCTAAATAAAGATATTTGTTTCGTTTTCTTAATCTAAATACGGTTAAAGCACTTCCAAAAATTGGTAGCCATTTTGGACCGGGTGGAAAATTATTTGGTTTTTTACTATCCAAGTAGATAAGCAAACCGAGGATTATGGCGAAAAAAAATATTGCTAAAAACATTTTCTACAAAAAAAAGGAGATTTTATGTTAATAAAAAAAAATAAATGAAAATGTGTTGATGAGTGAGAGTTTGTTGGAAAAAGTGAGATTTATAACGGGGGCATAAATTTTCGGGAAATTGGGTAACATTTTTATAACATTTACGTAACCCGGTGACTTGCTGAAAAAGACGGGTTTCAAAGTGCAGAAAGAGAAAGCTTTATATGTGTGGATTTGTGTGGGCACTTTCCAGTAGACACTGGGAGATACAGTTCTTCCGACCAACAGTGAAAGTTGTAAAATAACTTATGTAATCTCTTCTCAATTTTTATTGCAATCTTAAACAACATGTTACTTAATTTATAGACAAAAAAGAATTAATTTTTTAAAATTAATATTTTCAATTTAAAATTAATTTATAATCAGTTTTATTTAATTAAATAAGAATATGTTAATAAAATAAATTTTTGTAATGGTTATTAATAAAAAAATTAAAATATGAATCATAACATAACTTACTTTCACTTAATTGATGATTATAGAAATCCAAATCGAATTAACTCCTCTGTTAACTGAAAATGAAATTTTCACAAATAAAAAATTCACTCACTTAGACCGATTGAAATTTTGCCCTCAACTTTCTACAAACAAGTCTTATCTGGCACCATAAGTTCTCTTCATATACCTTTTCTCCCACTTAGCGGGGACAACACAAGATGAAATGCTCGAAAACAAATATTTGGCTCGTCAAATTACCAAAATAACCGAGATTACCGAATTGATTGAGTAATTATTTAAATTTAATAGTGAAACTGAAAAAGTTTCAGTTGGATTTTTCTTTATAAATACCTTACTATTCATTAAGTAATAATTAATAAGAAAATTTAATAATGAAAGTATGTTTATTTAGTTATTTTTAAATTTCAAAGTACTTCCGACAAATTTAAGTAATTAAAAGGTTAAATATAGAGAAAGTTATTCAGAATTTGATAAAATCAATAAATCGAAATGTTATCGTTGTGTTATACAAGTTATTATGTGATATTGTGGAAAATTTTCTTACTAAATTAGGTAGGAATTAATTCAGTATCTTAAGAAATTAAAAAAAAAATTACTAAATGGCTTGTACATGACACTAATAATAGTTATTTATATTACAAGTGGGCTAGAAATATAATTACACCTTCTGACGTGGAGGAAGCCGCAACGAATGCAGTTTCATCATTACTACCAGAAAAGTTGCGAAAAAAATGCATGGTGTAATCAGAAGTGTGTAGAAAACGAAACAAGTAAGAAAGTTTTCGAAAACATGTCGAAAAAGTATAAATCGCCAAGTCTTTGGACTTTTTATTCGATTTTACGAGCAGTAATGTCTATGAAAAAGAATGTTGAGTATACTCAATTAGTCGTTCTTTTAAAAAGACAAGGTAAGATGTATAAACCGAAAAAGTCTAAGGTATTGTCGAAAACCAACATAGAAAAATTTCTAAAAGAAGCGGATGATGTAAGTTTTTTACTGGCTAAAGTTGCTATTTCAATATTAGCTTCATCAACTAAATAAATTTGTAAAATTGTTTTTCAGGTTGTGTTGATTATAGGAATTGCTGGAACGTATCGCAACCAAGAGTTGGTCAATTTGGTTTTAGGAGATGTTAAGGATGATGGCCAAGTATTTTATATTAACATTCCGATGTTTCGACGAAAAAAAACAACGTTTCGCGTGAATTTTATATAATGCCTGGAGGTTTTGAAGGAATAAATATGATCGAAATAATTCGAAAATATAAGCACTTACGTCCTCAACACGCCGACCACGTACGATTCTTCGTTGGATACAGAAAGGACGTTTGCATTAAACAGCCTGTTACCGTAAATACCTTGATAGTATGCCAAAAAAATGGCATTATTTATAAAATTAAAAAATCCTGAAGAATTCAGACTATCATCAACATCTTTGTTGGCGGATACAGGAGCAGATCTGTTAAGTGTTAAACGACATGGCGGATGGAATTCCAACGCTGTTGCATAGGGATATATAAATACTTCTGTGGTATCATTGAAGGCTGTTAGGTTTTAAAATGAAAGAGTTTTTTCCCAACTACATGTGAATGTATTTTACCCAAAGGTTCGTACAATTCTGTCTCTTACAAAAGAGTAAGTAATTTAAAGTCGGAAAATAAATGAATTGGAAAATAAAAAACAAGTAGCTCAGAAGATATTAGGTGAACAACGTTCAAGAAGTAAGGACAACAGCAATCGACCTGTAGAAATAACAACTAAAAATTCAGCGACCTCATCTGGAATAAGTGTTTCGAAATGTAAACACATAACAATTAATGTTTATAATAAATAGTATTGTTTCTCTTTAAATAGGTAGCACTTTTCCTTTTGTATTCTTGCTCATTTCAATAAATTAAGTCTGTTCTAATTGGGCTAAAAATGCGTTACGTAATGAAACCAGTGCGGTAATGAACTTCATTACGTAACTCAAATCACCTCAAATGAGTGTGGTAATGATGACTTATCCAAGCAGTCGTAGATAAACAAGTTATCAAAGCGGTTATTAAAATATGGAGTGGTCAACAACTTTTTCTCATTTTTATGACACCTTTGGACTGTTAATATTTGCAAAACTGTAACTGTAACTAAATATCTAAATATTGGCGCCTTGAAAACAGAGGCAATAATAATAATAACGAAATCATTTCAAGTATTGGCATACACAGATGATGTACTTGTAATGGTCAGAAGTTAAGGTGGCTTGTAAAGATTTTTCTAAAGTTGTCTCGTTTTCTAGCAAATTTGTTTGTACAAAATAAAGAAATTGTAATAGCAGTTTATTTCGTGCAGTAGCTGTTATAAAACACCCAAGACGTCATAAACTTCACAAAGAGTCTATTAATAGTTAAAATATATGTAACATTTAAAAAAACACTAAAAAAATTTTTTTTTTAATTGATTTTCGATAGGGTTTTGAATGTTTTCGATAACTGTGCGTCGTGTTGTTGCAAAAGTTCCATTTTATACCAAAATGTTAGCATGACTCTTCTACGTCGAATTGAGTCGGATGCCAGCAAAAATAATAATTGATGAATTGAATTTGTTCAATTGACTTCGGCTTAGTTCTTTGGCTCAATTGTTTCTCCTGATTCAGCCGAAGCCAGTCGCGGCCTAGGCGAAGCAATGCTTTGCTCACATATGGGATTATACAAAAAGTATGGAATAATGGTTCCTAAAGTTTTTACTGGTTCCAGCCTAAACTTCAACTTAAATTAAAAAAAGTTAACGTGATAGAAAAATTTTTTTTCGAATTTTGTTGTACTTTTACTGGTTTATTTATATTTTTGTTGTCTAACTAATTTCGGCTAAAATACATGTAAAAATTCTTGGTGGACAAGATGGTCTGACCATCTTGTAACATCTACCACAAAAGATGTCCATGCGGAGTTAAATCTTTAAAGTTTTGTAAAAGAATTTTTACATGTATTTTAAGTAAATTTTGTGACAGTAATAATTTTAATTTGTTCACCGCTTTATATTTTCGATGTTAATTTCCTGTAAGATACAATGACTTTTGTCTCTGATGATGGCTTTTGCCGAAACTAGTTAGACAACAAAAATATAAATAAACCAGTAAAAGTACAACAAAATTCGAAAATTTTTTTNTCTGTATATTTTAAGGTTTTTGGATTCCTTTTGACAAGGTGTTGCAAAATGCCATAAGGTTTTAATGCTTTAAACTGCATAGTTTTCGAGATATTGAAACTTTTATTTAAAAACTTTACTGTTAAAATAAAATAAACTAAGTGATGACATTTCAAATGACATTTTTTGGCTCCGCCCATCTCTGTGACGTCAGACTTAGGCAGTCTATTCAAAAATTGCATATGGGGATTTTGCGTTAGCAACCAAGATGTTTGGAGTCGGTATAAGCTCCGCCCATTCCTGTGACGTCAACGCTTAGGTTGTCTATTCCATAATGACGCCATAATAGACTGCCTAAGTCTATCGCTACGTCAAATCTGTTTAAATAATAGTTTCAATATCTCGAAAACTATGCAGTTTAAAGCATTAAAACCTTATGGCATTTTGCAACACCTTGTCAAAAGGAATCCAAAAAAATTAAAATATACAGTGTTCCATTTAAAAAACACACTCACCATGTCGTAACTCAGACTGCCGTCATCATTTTTATTTTATTTCTATGCCAAGATATGCGGAAAATAGTTTCAAGTAACTTTTTTTAATTTAAGTTGAAGTTTAGGCTGTAGAACCATTATTCCATACTTTTTGTACACCCTGTATGTTGTTGGAATATGGGTTGATATGGTATTCGACCTTGGGTTGGTTCCTTGAATCCAAAAATGGTTAATATGATAAATGGTGAAAATGATAAAAAAATAATATTAGTCATCAGATAACACATTTTATTATTTAAAAAATCAATTACATTTATTATTAAATTAGTTGCTTCGTTTTTTATTTTTTCCAATTCTTTTACTTCTCTTTTTCTCACCCTTCCTATGTTTCTGTACTTTTCTTTGATTCATCCACACAGGATAATTACCAAATTGATCCTTCATTGTTTTAGAATTAAATACCCTTTTTCCAGCAGTGTCCATAACCATTTCATCTTCTTTTTCTTCAACATTTTTCTTTTCTTTTATAGTTTTAGCATCCGTAACTGTTGCTATTTCAGCAATATCAGTCATAGTCACGTCCATATTCTTCTCATCAATACCAAGAGTCTTTTTTAGTCTATCCAATTCTTTTTGTCCATAACGCTCCCTTTTTACAGCGCGACATTTCCTCCTCCATTTACTTCTTAAGCTTTTAGCCATAACTACAAATAATTATTGGATTATAAAGCTTAAACATTAGAGAATTGATTTCGAATTAATTTACCTGATAATACTTCTTCGGATAGTCTCAAAAAGAAGTTTTATTAAGGATGTGTTATCAACCTGTCAAAACAACGTGACAGCAAATAAAAAGAGGTTATGTTTGTATAATTGGTTGCATAACTAAATAAACATAACCTTCAAAGGTAAAAAAATTTTGTGATATTTTTATTAATTCCATGTAAAATAACTCTTATTTTATTATTAGATATGGAAGAACTAATCCAATACGATTTAAATGGTTGCGAAAATATTTTAAATCAAATTGAAAATGAAAATAAAAAATATGAATCATTATCCATAGAAAACGAACGATTAAATAGTAGAATTTCCGCAATATCGTTAAGTACCAAGAAAGAATTAGTTAAAGATAACGTATTTAAATGCAGGGTAAAAGTATTCAATTCGATTTTTGCTGTTCATAATCTTCTCTCGGAAAAAATATCTCTTTATGAACTAGAAATGGCAATTCGCCACAAAGCCAAAAAATTCTATTTCGTGGAAATATATATCGCAAATTCTTTCCAAAAACGTATTATTCATCAGAATTGGTTGATTAGCGCTTGTGTGAAAAGTTCCAAGAAACAAATTGGTAAAAGCATTAATGTTAAAAGGAAAATTACAAGTCCTGTTTGTATGTTGATTCCGTTTGATGATTCTAATGAAGAAGCGACTTTAAAAGTTTGGATAGCTTGGCCTGAAGGAACCGTGTGGCCTTATTTACAAATCGCTCAAATCCCTATCAATATTTCTTACCATTTTGATGTGAATAATTTAAGTCTTAACACAACAAATACAAAAATTTTTAGTATTTATAAACTTTACGACATTTCCGCTTCTTTTATCGCAGAAACAATTTGCCAAAGTCAACTTTATTGCGCAGGAGAAGCAGATTTATTTTTGGAGACTATTTTAAGAAATTGTTATCATAATTTAGATCTTAGAGATCAAGGATCATTTAACAGATCAAACGATGTGATTACTGTTAAGATTTCAGTTGGAAGTACTCAGAATGTTGAAATCAAATTGGATTTAGTTAATCATATATTGAGTATGCAGGGAAATTGTAGAGATCTTTATTTGTTGAGGAGGTATTTTTGTAAGGAGATGTGTTTATCGATTAAAACATTAACAGAAGATGTGTTGAAATCTTTGAAACAGTGGAAAAGTGATTTGAAGAATGATAATGAAAAAATAATAAATGTAACAAGAAGGAATAATGCGAATGATATTTATTTAGAATTAAGACGTATTGTTATTTAATTTTTTTTATTTCAAGAAAAAGTACATTTTTTAATTTTATATTATTTTATTTATTTTTCATCAAGCTGTTGAACCACTTATAACAAGGTTGATGGCAATTACAGTGGATTATTTTAATACTGATACTTTAAAGAGTTTTTTTGAGACAATCTTGAAGATAACTTGCACTATAGTTTCATGAAAAATACTCAAGAATATCATTTAAACTGCTAAACATCACCAAGAAATGCAAGTTGATACAGGCAAACTAAATATTGTTAATGAGCGTAATTCTGGAAGCAATTTGAGAAAATGGTTAATTTAATTAATAAAGAAGCTGATTTATTGAGAACTCACATTGCCAAAATTTAAAATGGAATCCAGTTTTTACACAAGAAGCTTGGCGACATCAAGCTATACATGACGTATAGCGAGGTAAATATAAATATTCAGAACAAATAACTAGATATGTTTTTGGGAAAAATTTTGAGAGGAAATTTCCTATACAAGCTAGAAACTTAAAAAAATGCGCTATGTTTTAGTGAAATATAGCACAAACTTAAGAGTACTAAGCAATAGTAAGTCAAGCTTTATATTCCACTAAGCTTAAGGTATTGGAGTTCTCTATGGAGGTCTACCCTATAAAAAAAATTCAAACAGTTCCCGTACTTTTTTTAATAGACGTTAGACGTTAATTGGCATTGTAATTTTTTATTTATTCTGATGATTTCATTGAACTCCTCATATAATTTTGTCCCTAAATATTGTTTTAATTTTTTCTAAATTTTGCATTACTATTGTTAAGCTACACAAATCGGGAATGAAAGACGGTCGACATCGTACGAATGACTAGTTTCAAGAAACAAACTGTCTACGATGCCGTTAAACGCTAGAAGGAGACTGGAGAAACTGTGGAGCGTCCTCAGAGAGGTCGTCCAATCATCGCCACGACTCTAAAGTATGTGCAGAAGGTCCGATGTTGCGCTCAACGTTAACCAGAACGTTCGATCAGGAAAATGGCAAAGGAGCTTGGCGTCAGTATCGGTAACACTTGAAACATCGTCAAAAGAGCTTCAGCTTGAGCAACTTCAACTACTTCAGAAAGTAGCTGCAAAAATTTCTGTGATGGTTTGGGTTTATATCTGCGCCACCAAAAAAACGCCGTTGGTTTTAATTGATCAGAACGTCAAGATTAATGCCGTCAGCTATCAATCAGCGAGTTTTACGAGACGAGCCGTGGGTGGCGGAACACTTCGGTCAAGAGGGATTCATTCTTTAGCAAGACTTGGAGCCGCCACATGTGGCCAATTCGACAATCAAAATTTGCAAAGAGCTATTTCCAGGCTTTTGGGGCTAAAAGATTTGGCCGCCTCATTCGCCGGATCTCAACCCAATGAATTACTTCGTTTACCAACACCAAGGTCCGTTGTCGCGTTCAACGCAACCCAGAACATTCGATCAGAAAAATGGAAAAGGAGCTTGGCGTCAGTATCGGTAACACTTGAAACATCGTCAAAACAAAGCTACAAAATCGATCGTCTCCACTTCCTGAATGATACAATTAACCTGAAGAGATCGCTGCTGCATGTTTATCAAAAGTTCTCTTCACTGATGAGAAAATTTTGCCTACTGAGACGATCGACTCGCTCCTCAAGCATCAGAAGCAAGTTCAACTACTCAAGAAAGTAGCTGCAAAAATTTCTGTGATGGTTTGGATCTACATCTGCGCCACCAAAAAAAACGCCTTGGTTTTAATTGATCAGAACGTCAAAATCAATGCCGTCAGCTATCAATCAGCGAGCTTTACGAGACGTTCTGGAGCCGTGGGTGGCGGAACACTTCGGTCAAGACGGATTCATTCTTCAGCAAGACTGGGAGCCGCCAAATTTGGTCTATTCGACAATCGCCATTTGCAATGAACTGTTTCCCGGCTTTTGGGGCAAAAAGATTTGGCCGCCTAATTCGCTGGATCTCAACTCAATGGATTACTTTGTTTACCAACACGAAGCTCCTTGGCCAACATTAATTCCCATAAATCCTCCAATATCTGGCCATAAATTACGCCATAGCAAACAGGTGGTTCATCCTGATTTTGACCAATTTTTTCCGGACATTGATGTAAATCAGGCTACTGCACTTCCGCCATCTTTAAGGCATAACATTCACTTTTCGGGACTTAGTGTTTGTTTTGTTGGTGAAATACTTGGCATTATATTACCTACAAATATCCAAACTGTCGATATTGTATAGCGCAATGGTGACTTAACGGAATCAATCAATCATCACTCTTTTCTAGTCAACTGACGCCTTCTACTAACTTGTGGCAACCTTGGCGGTTACATAACCTTTGACTGCTTCTAGAAAGTTCTTCTACTATTTTTTATGTCTACTGTTTAGTAAAGCGGATAAGCTTATAATTTTAGTCTCTTCGTCGACGGTTCAGACATTGGAAAATTCACTTGCGCACAAACCGCTGTTTTGCTACATATAAACATAGAGTCAGATTTTGTTCCCTTCGTCAACACCCCAAACTCCCAAACTTCTTCCTCCTCCCAAAACTTCGGATACATGTTAAAGCAACCCGCACATTCTTCGGAGTTATATGGTTCTCTTGTCATCCAGAATTATTCATTCCATTATGCTATAGCGCAGACGACCCATACACCAACTTCGAGTACTTTTATAAACAATACTTAAGCTACTATGTCGCGTAATTATGACAAATGCGTTCCTGACAATTAGAAGTTAGTCTTCCCGATGCATTGCTGTCATTTAAAAATGCTTTGCCCGAAACCGGGATGTCATATTTTAATTCACATTTTGGAACCTACCCAAAAATTGGCTTTGGTATACGATAACTTTTCATAAATGTTTAGTTATTTTCTGCGGGAATTCTTTTTGTTACGATTTTATACGGAAATTTGATGTCTGACTGTTTAGACTTCAACTCAGCTCATCTAGTATATTCCCATTTTTTATTTGGCGAACTAACTTGATGACTGCATAATAATAATAAAAACCACTTTATTGACAGCAAACAATAACTAAGATAAAAAAAATAAATACAGAGTACGATAATGTAACATCAGACTGAAACTTTATGCAGTTAAACGGCGAAGTCCAGATAACAGTTTCCAAAGATCCTGTCATCTGTTCTACTCAACCAGGAGTTGAACGATCAAACATTCAAGATAAGAAAACAAACACCTAGAACTCTTAGCGTATGTCGTTTTCCTCTCTTACGAAATTTCTCTCTTAATAATTATAAAGAAAGAAAGATAAATAAATAAAATAATAACATTCGTTCGCTTCAACGTCAGAACACCGAGGCAGCATAAATGTTTTGACCCCCAAATTTCTTACCTGCGGAGACACGACCAATTCAATGAAACATTGACATTATGAGATGATAACTTGCCAAACGTAACTATTGTTGATTTGGTTGCATTAAGTGTTAGTGCCATTTTGGCAGAGTACTCCGAGAGTGCTAAAAGATCTGCGTTTAATTTTGTACATGACAAGGCAGTGTGCTCTCTTCAAATGTCAAATACAGCTGAATATCATCAGCGTAGATGTGTACTGACGAGTGTCTGACGCATTTGGACAGTTGAGAGGTGTACAGAGGAAATAGTAGCGGAGCTAACGAAGCTCCCTGAGGGACACCATCCTCCACGGGTAAGGGAGCCGAAAATTGCTCATCCAATTTCACTACCCGAACTCGGTCAGATAAGAAGCTGTGGAATCAGATATACCAACATAATGCAAGAGGGATAACAACATTCGGTGGTTGACTTTGTCAAAAGCCTTGCTGTAATCTAGGAGCCACTAGATCACTCTGACTATCATCGCAAGCCTTCAAGAGATCATCAGTGACGTTTAATAAGGCGGTGGCACAAGTAACATCATGCAGGTGTGGAGGAATAATTGGCCTGGACTTTTTCTCGATATTCAACCTATTTAAAAGCCTCCAACTATTCTGCACGTCCATATTTTTAAATGAACTATTGAAATAAGCTTTTTTTCACGACGTATTGCCAATGTAACTGAATATCTCGAAGATTTGTAACAATCGAAATGAGGGAATAGTTTTGTTCTCCTAAATTTACCTAAGTTGTTCTCCTAAGTTCTTTGATCTTCATCATTATCATAATATTGGGTGTTATCCATGGAGAAAAGGGCTTAGCAATCCTAAGAGGACGCACCGGATCATTCGTGTCCACTGGTTTGGTATTATTATTAATATCAGTAGAATGTGGTCTTAATTTTATTGGCGTGACCAGCTAACCAGAATTTTTTTGCCACATAGGTGTGTTCTTTTCCTTTTTCTCTGCTGAGTTCTGCAATCAAATAGATATTTTTGCATTGCAGTCCTCTTCTGCTTTGATTCAACTTTTTTTACTGCCATTTCTAACCATTTACTATTCTTAGCGACAGTCTTAGAGTTGTTTAAGCAAACAGATGTGTTTCAATCCCTTTTTTCTTATCTAGCCAAACGTTGCAACTCGTTGTTGGTTACGTCACTCTGCATTTCACACGTACTTTTCTGAATTGATTTCAATTCGTAAACTTTAGTTCATCGATGAAGTACCTCTCCGATGACGTTGGAGACATTTCTATTACAAGTTATGGGGTAACAGTTTTACATTGCCATTGGGTTTATTAAAACAATTTTCCTTTCCACCAAGTCTACATTAATCAGTTAAGTTAGCTTTCAGTTTCTTTAAGCAGCTGAGAAGCAATCTAAACACCGTTCGGTTTAAAATAATATTATAGAAATTTTGGAGGTACAGAATCAAAGCATCTCCGAGATGAGTTATGTCAAGTTTGATGGAAATTATATATAAACAATATAAATTAAGAATGAAGTATCTATTTCTATACAAATATATTTGCTATTTATATATTTTTCATTGAAAATCTTTCAAAATAATAAAAAAAGGAAATAGAGAAAATAGAATGTGTAAAATGTTTGTTTGTAAATCTCAAAGTTGTAACATGATAACACCGAAGCGGTATTGTCTGGCAGATACGCGATGGCTCCGTATAGTGTTATCGTTATTTATACGCTTTTCAGACGGGTAAAGAAAGACGGAACGTGCTGACCACGGCCACTGCTCGCGATGGACTCAACTGTATGCTTCGACGAGCACGTGCGATGGTTTTTGGTGCATTAAAATAGCTTCAGTGTACCTCAAGCATCGTTAGCGTTAGGGTGGTTTTACCTGTATGCACTATTTAACCGCCAATTTTCGAATGAGACCGTTCTTGAGTGTGTAGTGAAAGTGAATTTACCAAAAAAAAAAAATTAATTTAAACGTTTTGGGATTATTATATAAAAATTGTAATGTTTTTGAAGATGAGAATTTTGGAAATTTTGGTGTTTATCCAATTTTGTTTATTTGGTAAGTAAAGAGTTATGAATTTTAGTTTGATTTATTTAATTGTATAATTTTGGTATTTTGTTTTTGAGTAGAATTAAAAATTTGAACTGACTATGTAAAAAAGTAATCATTATTTTTAGATTCGAATTAATGGTTACGAAAATAGTTTTTTGGCAATAGACGATTTTCTGGTTTCTTGTGAAGGTTTTCTATTAGTTTGTGGAGATGTTGAGCGTTTTGTCGAAGTGAAAAGGAGGTTTTGCTTCATTTCGGTTGCCAAAAATTTTCAGTCATCATACATTCAGTACATAGTAGTTTCTAATTAAATTTATGCAGCACTCGCCGTTTCATTTGAACGATCCTCGAACCATCTGTTGCTCCATAGGCCGTTACGAGACGTTACGACGGTAACACAGTACCTTGTAGGAAGGAATTAAAAAGCACTGGTGCGGGGTTCCGGTTCTTTGGGTTTTGATCCCCTACAAAGGCACGTGCCAACGGAAATACACGCGTCGTACAATTTATTCTGTAGATAAACCACATACTAAAGAACGGTTTATTTTCTTTTAACTTGAGTAATCATTCAACATGATTTTAACTTTAACTGTTGTTTATTTCCATTAACTTAAAACTAGAACTTCTAAATTCATTTAAAATAAGCTTATTACTTCAAATTTTCGTTAATTATTAATCTATCTCTAAGTGGATATTGCAATGCATACAGCAAAGTTTAAAAATAGGGTTGGTGAATTGAAAGAAGTTGCCAAGAAAGATTGTTGGCGTCTACTTTAAAAATTGTTCTGTTCGTACTTGAGATTCTTTTCTCGTTGGAACATACATAACATACCACATCAAAGGAATATCTTGAATGTTTTACTGAGAAATTGAAATATCTGAACATAGCTTGTTCCATATTCTACATTTTTTGCATTGAGTTTGAATGACGGCATTTTCTTTAATAAAATTGTGTAATGGATTGCCGATAACGATTAAAGCTTTTATATCATAACAATTAACCCTACAAAGATAATCATATTGTGATGTACATAAAAGATAATCATGCTTAAAATTGACCCATGTATGTGTTTATATTTATTTGTATACAAAACAGACACTTTAAATGCGCAGAGTATCTTTCTAGGGTTAAAGGTCAATATCAAAATTTAATCAATATTTCCAAAAATAAAGTTTTTGGTAACAGCAATTGATAATATAAATCATAAAGTGGAAAATATTTGAGAAACTTAATATGATAAACAAGACGTTTTAATTTATCATGGAATGCATTTTTTTTTTGAGAATCAGATGTCTCTCTTTTACCTACTGTTTAATATAGAGGTTTTATCCTGCTTGCATCCACCTCCGAGGATGTTGACGTTAATAACAATTCGCCTAGAGAACATAGATGTTGTGATTATTTATTTTAATTTTTAGAAGATTACTCAGTTAACACGTTCGCTGCCGAGCGACTCCGTTAACCATGGTTTAGATACGAGTTAACTCGTAGTCGGCAGCGAACGTGTTAAGCTTCTATTCGCGCAAATACTACGTCTTGAAGTTTCTTTAGATGAAGGCCATCTGCAGTCTTCCATAACTTATGGGGTTAATACGACCATTTTGCCGACGGTTCGATGCTTTCGTACAAGCGTTCCTGAATTTTTCCGTGAAATCTTGGATGTAGGATTTGAGGTGATTATACACGGCTTTATCGGCGAGGTGAAGCGTTGATTGCCCAATACCTTCTAATCCGTTCTTTATCGTGTGCAAAACCCTTGATCTTTGAAGAAGGAAAGGCTATCCACAATTATCGTGAGGTGTTCCTAGATGTATTCGGTGAGTTTTCATACTGCATCATTATGTTGAACAGTGATATGGATCATAATGAGGTTGCCTTGAATTGCTTAGATAAGCAAGCCAGTGGGAGTGGGTCATCCAGACAAAAAGCGCATCACTCGTGAGTGATTGTGGTCTGATATCAAGTAGAGAATTGTGTAAAAATGAAGGAGGATCATACACTTCGTTGGATACATATTTGGTGGAAACTTCGTCCATATACACGTAGATTTAACTCGTCGGCAAATCAGTAATGTATTGTGTCCAAGTGTTCTCTGCTAAACTAGAGTCCCAATTGGAATTTCTTTGAACATAAATCGTCATCATAGATATTGATATTCTATTTGCTTTAATCTGTTGTAAACGAGAAAGAGAATAACCGGTCTGATGACGATAATGTGACAATCTTTGTAGCTTCCAGATGTCGTAGGTTAAGGGTGGTTAACAATTGAAATATACCATGTGTAATCATTACGGGCAAAACATTACAAAAGGACTTGAATGTTGTCTCTCAAACCATTTTGACCACTATTCCAGCTGTATGGTAGTTGAGAACCTCAGGTTGCTCTTTTTCCAGTTGGTTTTCTATATTTATGGACGGAGCTTCTTTAGAATCATCGCTTATCATTTTTTCAATGTTGATGGATCCTCTTCGACATTATCATTCATAGCTTAGATGTTCACAAGTGACCCGTTTATTCGAGGTCGTCCATATGGTGTCCGAACTCGGGTTGATCCAGTGTCTTCAAGTGGAGTCACCAAAATTCGAATTGTTTGAGATGCAGGCGCCACAGGGTTCGGATATTTATTCCAAAATTCACATTAAGTTAAAACCAACGCATATCTTTCCATTCTGAAGCGCAATAAATTTTGTCACCTGTCGAGAAAACATAATATTTACCGTCAAATACCAAATTTTAGCTTCTTCAGGTAGTGTGATACTATTTTTATACGCCAGCTAATATAAAGCCGATTCTCCCCTTTCACTCCGCTACTTTGATTGTTCTTTGCAGATATGATATGAGCATAGTTATGAAATACTTGCGATACTCTCATGGAAAAAGTGGGGGCAAGAATCCTAAAAACTTGACATTACATACTATGATTTAAGTTTAAAATGCATATTGATTTTGACACTTATGCTGCTCATATCTTTAATGCTGTTAAGGGATTTTGATGCAGAATTTCATATAAATTACATGTATGTGATGAATGAAGCTTACTTTTATTTATACATTCCTATTTGCAACATACTATATTTATAATACTATATAATATTTTTCAAAACACAAATGATGAAGACAACAGTAGAACTATACTACTTTAATAATTTTATTGTTAAGATGATAGAGCATTTTCTGCTTGGATGATTTTGTATGAAAAAATCGCCTTTTTTCATAAAAGACATAAATTGTAGTCTTTAAAAATGAATAGCAGCTTGGTCAATAAGAACGGTTCGTAAAAACAGTGGAGGGATTGGAGAAAGTAATAATGTAACCAGATAAAGAAAATAAAAATTTGATTTTTTTGTTTATGCTAATTCTTGAAGCCTCTTCACTCACTGTTTTTGTTCGTTTAAAAGAACAGCTTTCTTATCACCTAATTTTCAGTCATATGTGATGTATCATTTTGAGTATTGTCTTAATTTTTTAACTAATGTGTAGCTAAGTGCAGGCAGCTAAAAACATTATAGGTGGTTGATGGAAGTGAATTTCTGAAAAATGGCTTGGTGATTATATTCAGTGTCAAAGACACAATTTAATTCAATAATTTATCTTCCCATGTTTGCATCAAACAGATAAATGCAATTAAGTTGCAACCATACTTTCCATTGACGAATTTTACTACGATTTTTGCAACATGTTCTCTAAATGTAGTGCTAGAGTCTCTCACGTCACGTCGTTTATGAGGCTACTGCATATTATTATAAGTTCCTTCAGCTTGTTAGTTTAACTTTGCTTTCTTCGTAAGTTTTAATGTTTCGGACATTAAATAGTTTGCTAGCTTGATGCTAGTTTGATAGGATTGTTCATATCATTATTATTCTCCATAAATACTTGCCCAACGAATTGTGCTCGAAAAATAAATTGATTATCTTGATTCTTTTTGTATACATTTCCTCAGCAAGCTACTCTGATTTTCAAGAACGTAGAGAAATGAGAAGAGTATATAACAATAGATGAAGAAGGATTTAGATACAGTAGAACCTCGTTAATCCGAATTAATTGGGACCGAAGGTGGTTCAGATTATCAAATTGTTCGGATTATCAAATCTTGCTGCTAAATAGTTGAAAACACAAGTATTGGATACAAAAGAATTCACAAAAAAATTACTTTTACAAAAGAAATTTAATTTTTGCTTTTTGGGCATTCGGATTAGTGCGGTTCGGATTATTGAGGCTCTACTGTATTTGATAAAATGCATTTGAGATTATATTCTTAATATTTAACGTTTTACAAAAACCAATACTTTTGTTGTTGAAACGGTCTACAAGAATTTGTATTAATAGTGGTATAGAGTATTATACAGATACTTGTATAAATTTACACGATTTTTTAAGAAAAACCGAACTCTCCAAGCAAATAATCTGGCGTCAATAACGTTAATTGACGCTATTTCTAATAAAACAAAGTTTAGAGGTTTAGAAAGCTCAAACTTCTAAGAATTTAACAAACTTCAAGAGTAAAATTTCTTCACGCCATTACTCAACAAACTTTTATATCTGATCAACAGGGCACGGAACTTTTGTAACAAAACGATACGATTTCCCCCTTCCACTCGTTCTCACAAAATCTTGATTAAAAGAACAGCATACTGTTCAGTGGGAAATTAAAATTTCAAGTTAGCAAAAAATTGTATTAACAAACACTGTTCCTGAAGTAATTCTAAACAAATTTTGTTAACAACATTTTTTGATTAAATCAACAATAAGGATATAACCTCAAAAATATTAATTTTTATACTATTCAGAGGGAAATTAAAATTTTAAGTTAGCAAAAAATTTTATTAACAAACACTGTTCCTGAGGTAATTCTAAACAAATTTTGTTAATAAAAATTTTTGATTTGATCAATAACCTCAAAAAAAAATTTATATATATATTTTTTTTATTGAGAAAATCGTTTTAGTGGAGGGGGGAAATCGTTTTGTTACAAAAGTTCCGTGCCCTGCTGATCAATCATAAAACAAACGATACAACATAATAAATGATGTTATTACATTTACCACTTAAATGGACAAACATTTTCCATTGGCCTCTCTTCAGTGCCACCAACTTGACTTCTCCCCATGTCTTTCTTTGTCCGTCCAACTCCTTTAAAGTCCTCCTCTATGTTGTCCTCGGACATTCCAATCTAGTGGCTGTTTCGCACATTGTAGGAAAATTTTATGCTGGTGATTAATATGCGCAACTTGGTTTTCCTGGATAGTTGGAAGGAGTTCCATATGTGCTTTAACATTCCAAACATTTGTTTGGCTTTCTTTATTATTTGCGCCACGTCCACTTCTGTTCCTCCGTGTTTTGTTACCATATTGCTTAAGTAGCAGAACTCTTCGACCTCCTGTATGTTCTCGCTGTATATAGTAAGTGGTTGTGCGTTGTCTATGGTGATGTGCTAACTGATGTTTTCTTTGATTTCATCTCTAACCCTACTTGCCTGTTACTTGCCCACCATTCTATCCTTTTGTTTAGTTTTGTTTGTATGTCTGTATACTCTAAATAATTTAGTTTGGTTAGGAAGTCCCACCTCATGTTCCACCCATATGATCTATTTGGTTTTGTGTTTTATCATCTGGTGACGTCCAAGTTATTATCCCATAATATACCATTGCTAAACGAAAAGGGAGTCTTTCCCAAGATAGAATCTAGTTTGAATTTGGTATTAATAAAGTTATGATTGTAGAAGACTATCATGAGCTGTTGCAATTTGAAGTGCATATTTTCTTGGAGTACATTTTTAAGTTGAACAAATTGAAGGAAGAAAGTTCAAGTAAACACTTTCAGATGCATGCCACTAACGAAACGAGTACACAAAAGTGTAGCCAAGTGTAGCCACCCAAAAACAGTATAGCGTGTAATTTTCCGTTGTTCTAATTTGCAGGCATCTTTGAAATCATTTTCACTTAGATTTCCAACATATTACTTTTCTAGTTTCATATTTGACGTTTAATCTGAAAGATTTGATTTATGTGTAATGTTAATGTTTATCTTATAACATTGGATTATAACAAAGATACGTTGAGAAATCGCGCTAATTTGAGAAAGTAGCTCTTACTTCCTGTAGTATTATCGTATAACCTATACAGGGTGATTCATTAGCTCTATGACAAACTTTGGCAGATGAAAGGTGATGCGATTCTAAGGAAAAAATGTTATATGAATATGGGTCCGATTCATTTTGGTTAAAGAGTTACAAGCCTTTGAAAATTTTACACAGTTTAATAGGCAAATGAAAATGTAACATAAAAAATAAGTTTAAAAATTACAAAAATTGTTCGAAATGTCCGCCTTCAGCTTGAATGCACGCTTCACATCGACGAAGTAAAGATTTGCAACAATCGCAACAATAATTATGAAACACAAATACAGAGTTGGCTGTGATAACAAAACTGAGTTCTTTATGTCAAACATTTCAATTTACTCTATTCTGTGTGTTTCAAAGTTTATAATTGTCAGAGTTTTGATCGAAAACGAAAATGCATGTATTTACGACTGAAGAATATGCAGATATTATTTTTGTATACGGGCTTTGTAACGGAAACGCTCGGCAAGCAGCAAGAGAATACCTTCGTAGGTTTCCAAATAGACATCAACCTGCCCATACAGTGTTTAGTGCATCATTTCGCAGACTGAGAGAAACAGGTAACCCCGCTCCACTACATTCCGTTCGTCCCCATGATGTGAATGTACAAAATGAAGAACGTGTTATTGATTTAGTACTTGACGACCCTTCAATTAGTACTCGGCGTATAGCGAGCATGTTACAAATATCCCAAAGTTTTGTATGGCGTGTATTGAATCGAGAAATGTTACATCCGTTTCATCGCCAAAATGTTCAAGCATTACATCCTGGAGATACTGAGCAACGCTTAGCATTTTGCCACTGGATTATTCAGCAACATGCTCAAAATAATAACTTCATTTCCCAAGTTCTGTGGTCTGATGAAGCGTGTTTCACTAGGGACGGCATAAATAATTATCATAACGAACATGTGTGGTCCTTGCAAAATCCACATGCAATTAGACCAGGAAGATTTCAGCAACGGTTTAGTGTAAACGTTTGGGGTGGCATTTTTAACAATTCTTTGCTACCTGTATGGGTGATAAATGAACGCTTAAATGCAAATATGTACAGAAATTTCTTGGGACATAACCTTTTCGATTTTATCGACGACGTACCACTTAACATCGTTCAAAATATGTGGTATCAGCACGATGGTGCACCACCACATCGAGGAAGAGAAGTCATCGCTTGGTTACATGAACATTTTCCAAACAAATGGATTGGCAATGGAGGTCCAGTAGTCTGGCCACCACGATCCCCAGATCTAAATCCGCTGGATTATTATTTCTGGGGACACATGAAGCAGCTTGTGTACCATGTAGAAATTACTACCCGTCAGCAACTACTGGACAGAATTCAAGATGCAGCTAATAGCATACGGAATGATCCAAATATCATACGTCGTGTGATAAAATCTTTACTTCGTCGATGTGAGGCGTGCATTCAAGCTGAAGGCGGACATTTCGAACAATTTTTGTAATTTTTAAACTTATTTTTTATGTTACATTTTCATTTGCCTATTAAACTGTGTAAAATTTTCAAAGGCTTGTAACTCTTTAACCAAAATGAATCGGACCCATATTCATATAACATTTTTTCCTTAGAATCGCATCACCTTTCATCTGCCAAAGTTTGTCATAGAGCTAATGAATCACCCTGTATAACCCAACAATTTACTAAAGTAGTTTTCTAAAAACATTCAGTTGGAATCTCAAATTTGAATAAGATGAAGAAGTCTAAATCTTTGAACTTTTTGCTTCGAATACATTTTCCTCAAAAATTGTAGTCTCGAGATTGACTCAGATTGATTTATTGATTGTGTTTGTTTACTTATGATGTAAGACTGAAAATCCAATTCCAACTTAATCCAAGCTATATTGTGGCGTAATTGTTAGAAATATAAGATAAAGGATTTTCGAAACGTTTTTACTTTCTATTATAAATTTTGTTTCAAAATAAAGAAAACAACAAAGAACGGTAGGCAGTGTTCACTCACCGTAGGATTCCTACCGGATATTAAATATTCCCACCGGATATTCCGTGACATATGGAGTCGAAAAGCATATGACAGCACTGGGAGGTTTCAATCAAAGCCCTTTACAAAAATTTTACATTCACCGATTCCGCATGGTTTGGCATTTCATTTGTAATAGTCGATGTGGATATTTCAACCCGATCTCTAACGGTTCGGTTTGTTAGGATATTTTAAGGATTTATTTATTATATTTGGCTCTAAACTTGACCTCTAATTAAGTACGGTAATAAAATACTATGTTTAACATGACACATGTTGTAATAATGATTATTAATAATGAATAAAGAAAATAAACAACAAAATTAATAGATTTTGTATTTTGGATTTTACAAAAATCAAATTTAGGCTTAGATTGGCACATATCCAACACTAAGTCTAATTTAAGAAATATGTAATAAGCTATTTTTAATTTAAGACTATGGGGCTACGAATCATTGGATTTGTATTACTACAAAACAATTTTATATATTATGACAAAGTTTATTTCATTCTAAATTTTTTTTTTAATTATATCCAATTTCTTAGAAGTTAAGGTACGTTCACCTATAACACAGACTCTAACTATAAAGTACTGCACGATATCATTATCTAAATCTAAGAAGCGGAAAGAGAAAATAACACGTTTTAATTTTTATTTAATCCTAACTACACCAAATTTACTTCTTTTTTTCTTTAAGTATCTGCAAAAATAAAAATTAAAAATTTAAAAATTCCGGATGGCATAGAATATAACACAACCGACGAGGTAATTTTGGATTGTGATTATTCGCTGGGAGAGGAAGACAAAGACACTTTGGTAATAAAATGGTTCTTTCAAGAAGGTAACATCCCAGGCGATGGACGCATGATTTATCAGTGGATAGTGAGCAGAAAACCACAAATTGTTGCAAAACGTTTTAAATCATTAATCGATTTGAGCTATAACGCTTCCGAAGATCCATTTAAAAAACACCGAGCTTTGAAAATTAATAAAATCAGCTCAGAAATAACTGGAAATTATACTTGTGTGGTATCCAGCATGATAAGCGAAGAGCGAAAATCCAAAAAATTAGTTGTTTACAGTAAGTATTATAAAAATCAATTAATTCATAATTAATCTTTATATTTCAGGAAAAGCTGAAAATGTTGAATTTATTCATTTGGCGGATTCTGAGATGTACATTTGTGCAGCGTATGGTGTTTATCCAGAACCTGTTATGAATATTTTTGTGAAAGGAAGGTAAATAGAAGAAAATACAATAAAATTCATTATAATTTAATTTTGTGTATTTCCAGTAATTTGACTAGAATTGAAGATTATGATGATAACGACGATAACAATCGTGAATCTAGCGAAGGTGACGATGATGCCATAGGTTATAACCACGATGGCTTGCTAAATGTTACCAGTAGTTACAAATATCTCAAAAATGAGATTAAAAATCAAACGCAGTTTATATGCGAATTATGGATTCCAGATACTGATTATCACCTAATATTTTATTCCCATTTACTACCAGGTTAGTAATAAAAATACATAAATAGAATTAAATAAACTTATTTAATGATTGCAGATAATTCTGGAGTAATTCATAGATTAAGTGGGTTGGCTTTAATCGGGTTAAGTTTAGCTCTTTTTATTTAAAATTAAAATTTAATCGGTGTAAATTGATCGGAAGCTATGTAAATTTTTGTATATAATCCAAAGGTTATTAGTTAAGAAATAATTATTTGATTTTATTATATTGTACAGAGAATATTTTTGTACATAAGTGTATAAAGAAGAGACGTGTATTTTCTTACTAGTCCCAAGAAACCAAATAAAGTTATGTTTTATTAAATCATTTCCTTGTTGTAATGATCTGTACTCTTATAATCATGTAATGCACGAAAATTGATACTTTTGAGGCGTTAAAATCGGCTACAAATCAAAATCACGAAGCATATAAAAAACATTGGTGTTTTTGGATACTAAAATAGGTTTTATCTCAAGAATATAAGGAGATTTTTGGACCAAAAATTATCGGTATTATCCCAAAAACATGTTCAATGAGCTATTTCATTCCATCATTAAATTAGTACTACTCAGAACTCTCAAAATCGCATATTGAACGAAAATTCATACTTTTGAACGTTAAAATATGTTATGGTATAAGATGAAGAACAATTTTCGATATCAATAAGTGATTTAATTCTATCGTTAAATGTGTTTAAATTAGCAGAAGTAAAATCGCGAAATATATGAAAATTGATGTTTTTGAGCATTAAAATAGGTTATATCTCAAGAGTACAAAGAGATGGAAAACTAATTTTTGTACCAAAATTGATCCGTATTATCCTAAAAACATATTCACTAACCAATTTCATTCCATCATTTAATTCGTCCTACTTAGTACTCCCAGAATCGCCAAATGAGTTAATATTGACACATCTGAATGTTGAAATAGGTTATATCTCCAGAATATCACGAGATGGTAATCAATTTTTGATGCTAAAAGTGTTGCATATGATCCTAAAAACATATTTAATGAGCGATTTCATTCCATTCATTTAATTCGTCCTACTCGGTACTATCAAAATCGTAAAACGAGCATAAATTGATTCATTTAGATGTCATATCTCAAGAATACCATGAGATGGAAAACAATTTTTGATATCAAAACTGTTCCATATTATCCTAAGAATATATTTAATAAGCGGTTTCATTCCATCACTTAATTCGACTTACTTATTACTCTCAAAACTGCCAAATGAGTGAAAATTGATACCTTTGGACGTTAAAATTGGTTATACTTCCAGAATATGACGAGATGCAAATCAATTTTGGATACTAGTGTTCTATATTATCCTAAGAATATATCCATTAAGCGATTTTAATCCATCATTAAATTTGTCCGATCTAGTACAATTAAAATCACGTAATGTATAAAAATTGATGTTTTGAGCATTAAAATGGGTTATATCTCAAGAAAACGAAGAAATGGAAAACTAATTTTTATACTAAACATAATCCGTATTATCTCAAAGACATATTCAATATCGGTTTCATTACATTATTTACTTCAACCTACTCAAAATTCTTAAATGCGCCAATTGAGTGAAAATTGATTCTTTAAGACATTAAAATAGGTTATATCTCAAAAATATCAAGTGATGGAAAACAATTTTCTACATAAAAAGTATTCCTAATTATCCTAAAAACATATTCAATAAGCGGTTTGAATCCATCATAAAATTTGTGCTGCTTAGTACAATCAAAATCAGGTAATATATAAAAATTGATGTTTTGAGCATTAAAATAGGTTATATCTCAAGAATACACAAAGATGGAAAACTAATTTTTGTTCTAAAAATGATCTGTATTATCCCAAAAACTTATTCAATAAGCGATGTCATTTTATTATTTAGTTCGTCCTGCTCAGAACTCTTAAAATCGCAAATTGAGTGAAAATTGATTCTTTTCTATGTTAAAATAGGTTATATCTCAAGAATACCATGAGATGGAAAACAATTTTTGGTATCAAAACTGTTCCATATTATCCTAAGAATATATTTAATAAGCGATTTGATTCCATCACTTAATTCGACTTACTCATTACTCTCAAAACTGCCAAATGAGTGAAAATTGATACCTTTAGACGTTAAAATTGGTTATACCTCCAGAATATTACGAGATACAAATCAATTTTTGATACTAAAAGTGTTCTATATTATCCTAAGAATATATCTATTAAGCAATTTTAATCTATCATTAAATTTGTCCGATCTAGTACAATTAAAATCACGTAATGTATAAAAATTGATGTTTTGAGCATTAAAATTGGTTATATCTCAAGAAAACAAAGAAATGGAAAACTAATTTTTATACTAAACATGATCCGTATTATCTCAAAGACATATTCAATAGCGGTTTCATTACATTATTTACTTCATCCTACTCAGAATTCTTAAATACGCCAATTGACTGAAAATTGATTCTTTAAGACATTAAAATAGGCTATATCTCAAAAATACCAAGTGATGGAAAACAATTTTCTACATAAAAAATATTCCAAATTATCCTCAGAACATATTCAATAAGCGGTTTGATTCCATTATAAAAATTGTGCTACCTAGTACAATCAAAATCAGGTAATATATAAAAATTGATGTTTTGACCATTAAAATAGGTTATATCTCAAGAATACACAAAGATGGAATACTAATTTTTGTATTAAAAATGATCCGTATTATCCCAAAAACTTATTCAATACATCATTTCATTCTATTATTTAGTTAAACCCACTCAGAACACTTAAAATCGCAAATTGAGTGAAAATTGATTCTTTTGGACGTTACAATAGGTAATATCTCAAAAATACCAAAAGATACAAAACAATTTTCTACACAAATTAAGATATATGTATAGTTTAAATTATTATTATATATATAATTTTAAAGTTAACGAAACCAGAATTGAAGGAAACAGAAATGTGTCAGGAGAGAAAAAAATATCTACATAGATAATTCCTTATTTTGAATTATTTAAAGATTTCATCACATATTGACACAGCATACATATAATATATTTCAAACTCACGATGAACAACTTAAGTCAACACCAAGACCTACAATCATATATTAACATCGAGTTTAGTTCTTGAATCTTCGTTTTCTTTCTCCCGCTCTCGAAGTGCACAAGCACTCTGATGATGACACCCATTTTTCAATTTAACCGTTCCCCCGGCGCGTAACTACATAATATATTCCTGATTAACGTCGTCGTCGTCGCCCTTCCAGCGACTACTCTCTAGAGATGCCGTCGTCGTCGCCGCCGCAAACCAACAGTTTGAACGTTTAACGCGATGAGAAACGATCATCATCTCAGCTGCGTCGATTAAGTTTTAGTTTACAAGATTAGTTTTAATAAATTATATTCAGTGACCCGTGATGGAATTGGTTATCTACTGAAAACAATTAAAAAAAATCGAAAGAGATAATAGTAATTCGGTGTGTTTTTTGAATCATCTTTGAATCAGACTGTAAACTCCGCGTCGATTTTGGGGTTTTCTCATATCATATAAGATTATGAGACGGAGAGTATCGCCTACGATCGTCGTTTCGTCTGGAAGAATACAGGAAGTGTTACTGGAAGATTAATCGAATTAAGGAAGTTGGTAATTTAAATTTATAAACTAAAAGGTAAATTTAAATGTTTATTTCTTACATATTTTATTTGTTATATAATTTTTATTTTAAATTTAATTTTCAAATTTATTATTCACGCAATAAATTCATTAAAACGTTTTATTTGTGTGGAAAACAACTTAAAATTTTATTAAGTTGATGTATTTACTACTTTTAAAAGATAATATACAAAAGGGATTATGTTAGATCGACTTTTTATCACGGGATTTCGTTATTTATGACGTGGTCGTGAGGTTCATATAATTATCTAATAATTTTACTCATTTTTTTTGTATATAGGTGGTCTAAAATTATATTAATTAAATTTTAACCTTCCAGTATACAGCCAATAAAAATTCGTCGGGCAAAAGATGGCGTTAGTTAGTATCTTATTATTTATTTTTTTGTATTAAATACTTACTTAACCCATTTACATCATACACTCAGATTTTTACGAAACAACTAAATCTGGAATTAACACTAGATCTAGAATTAAAAACATTTGGGTTTAGCCGTGCGTCTCTTAAGACTGCTAAACCCAATGTTTCTAGTTCTAGGTCTGGTGTTAGTTGTAATTTTAATATATACAACAATCTAGCTAATTTATAACATCTACAGAAAAGAGAGCTAATTTATGACATCTACAGAAACTATGGTGGTACAACTACATGATGGAACTGAACGTAACCCGATTGGTAGAGGGGTAAGGCAGGATAACACGATGTTTTCTAAGCTATTTATCACAGCCCTGGTATATGCATTCATGAAACTAGACTGGGAGAATAAAGGCATAAACATTGACGGTAACATTGTGTTGACCGCTGATACTCTCGGTGACATTAAACTGATGCTGCATCTGCTGAAGGAAGTACATATGTGTATCGGTTAGTCTGGAAATCAATATCTTTAAAACAAAATTTATGACCAATAGCGAATGGAAGGAAAGGAAATTGAACTAGTGGATATGTAGGTGTACATATCCACTAGTTAGTCTTAGCCATGAAATAAAAATTACAAGAGACAACTATACCTACGAACTAAGGAGGAAAATAATGCTCTCATGGGCATATACTGCCCATGAGAGCATTATTCAGAGGTGTACTCAAAGGTGTGTTTAAGACCAATATGCAGGGTCGTAGCTAGAGTTGAATTTAAAGTATGGCAACGGTGGTTACAGCTAGGTCGGAAGTAAAAATTTTACTTGATCTGATCTGGTAAATCGATTTTCATCGTACTTGTGAATATGACTGAGTGAGTAAGGTAGTACTTAATTTCCGCTGGGGTGATAAGGAGATAATAGCAAAACATTCATTTATTCAGGTTTATATTAATTCTTCAAACATATTATAATCACTATAATAATAAAAGTCTGAATTCTTCGATTCGCCATATTGTTAAAAATGCGAAGAACTTCATTGAGATCAACTGACTTTGTTCTTCTCCTTTCAAAAGCAAGAAATACCATGCCTGACATACCTCTGAGGTCTATTGATTGCAGTCAAAGTTGAAAATCTAGATTCGCACACAGCAGTGCTACATCCTATGGTTGCCACAGATGCAAACAGTTCATAAGTATTTTTGAAGGCCTCTCGCTGCATGTACAAAACTTTCATTGTGTTTTCCGTTCTATCCTCTACACGACTTCCATAAACTTCAACCACAGCAGCTACTTCCCTTGATGGAATTGTTAGACCTAAAAAATTAGGTAAAATTGTGAATTGGACATAAATAAACAATAGTAGCAACATAGTTTTGTTTAATTTTCTCACACTTACCTAGATTTTTCAAAGGTACCATTTTGTCTACATCTTTCAATCATTTGTAATTCAGCTATTAGTATGTTCAACGTTTCAAAATACTCAGATTTAATTGGCTGGTCGTTCTGGTCTTCTATATTTTGTCGATTCTAATCAATTTTGTTAATTAGATTGTTTGACTTGCCTCTTCTGGGTCTGTGTCCTATTTTCGGCTTGTCATAGACTTAGCTTCTCTCAAAATTTGATGATACCTAGCATCTGATCTCAGTTTCGTTATTTCATATTGGACGCAGTTTATGATTTTTATGGCGTCCTTTAATCCTGCACTACGGGCTTGTAAAGCTGCGTCTGCAGGCTAAAGCGTGGATAAGATTATTTTGGCCATAGCCATTCGGAATTCCAAACTGAGCATAACCTTTTTAATACCGACACTTTTAATTTCATCTAAAGTCGTCAAAATCGTTGAATAATTATCGTTTACAACTTTTGTAATCTCCAAGTGTCCTGACCAACGCTGCTCGAGGAGCCGGCCAATCCTTTTTCCACCATACAAAGCAGCTATTTTGCCATGGTGAAAAAATTCATGTAACATGACGCATTGATCAAAAAATAAAAGAATGAAAGTCATTTCCGAGATAGTCCTGATGACTATCAAATGCAGGCGATGATTATAGCAGTGGTCGTAAGGAACTTTTTGGCCCAATTTGTTTTCTATTCTGGTCGCAACTCCCGAAACTTTTCTGCTCATTATACTTGCGTCGTCATAGCATTGGCTGAGCATACGCGAGAGGTCAATGTTATTTTCGCTAAGGGTATTTAACGTCCATTCCGTAAAAGTGGCTGCATCAAGATTTTCAGTAGTCCCATCTTCCATTAATGTAAACCAGTTCACGTCAGATTCCTTAATATCTTTAACAATGGAACTTCGTACTGCTTGAATTATTTGATTTTGAATTTCAGGTGAACGATATGTTGCATTTTGTGGTATGTGTCTGAGAGCCTTGTTGGGTGGTCGTTAGACAACCTGTAATACGGGAGTTGTAGAATAAAGACAGTTAACCTCGAGACTCGGAGCGTACAACATGGTGTCAGGCGTGGGGTTATACTGAAAAGTAGAAAAGCGAGGGAACGCGATTAAATTCTGTGAACATAAATAAATGCTTAGCGAGAGCAAAAGAAACTATTTGGTGGCCAGGAATAAGACAACAAATATTGGACAAAATAGAAACCTGCGAAATTTGCTTGAAGAACAAGATACCTCCAACGGAACCAATGATTCCGAACAAAGTGCCACATAGACCATGGGAAAGATTGGGGACGGATATAGCTACTTACAAAAATACGAACTACTTAATAGTACAGGACTATTATTCTAAATACCCTGAAATCCGAAAACTAGATAATTTACGTAGCGAAACTGTCATAGAACAGCTAAAGGATATAATGTCTCACCATGGAATTCCAATAGAATTAAGATCAGACAACGGAAAACAATTTGTCAGTTACGAATTTAAACAATTCGCCAAAGATTATGGTTTCAAAAGTATAACCAGCAGTCCAGAATATCAGCAGGCAAATGGACAGGCAGAAAGCGCTGTAAAGATTTTGAAAAAGATTTTTCGCAAGAATAAAGACACGCATCTTGCGCTGTTAATTTACAGAAATACTCCTTTAAAATGTGGGTTCTCTCCTGCTCACTTGCTTTTTTGCAGGAGGTTAAGAGAGAAAGTACCAACGCTTAAATCAAAATTGGATCCCAAAGTACCAAATCATAATAAACTGAGGAAGGAATTTGAAGCCGAGAGGGAAAAACAAAAAGAACAATATAATCGAAGACACAGAGTAAGAACAAACACACATTTGGAAATCGGTGAAAGAGTGTGGATAGTGAACATGCAAAGAGAGGGAATAGTGAAGGAGGCGACAACAGAACCAAGATCATACATAGTAGAAACGGAAAGGGAGGATATTCGGAGAAACAGAAAACATTTACAGCCACTACCAACACAGGACAGAGACAAGGATCATGCAAATGTGGAGGAGACCAAAACAGAAAATGACAAACATATAACAAACGAAGATACAATAGTCGCGGAGAAAACTAACAATGAAACAGAAGTACCAAGACGAAGTGAACGTACAATAAAAGTGCCTCAAAGATTAAGAGACTATATTAGATTTTAAGTTTAAATGTTATACTTAGAAAGAGGGATGTTGGGTGGTTGTTAGACAACCTGTAATACGGGAGTTGTAGAATAAAGACAGTTAACCTCGAGACTCGGAGCGTACAACAAGCCTCCTTCAAATTCGGATCTTTCATGCACGTGTATTCATGAAACAAACAAATTCTGAAATAATCCTTGTTGTTTTTCTTCCTCCAAGATATAATTTCCACGCAACGCTAACTCGTTGACAACTAGAAATTGTATCACTTCAACGATAGATTTCACGTAATACCGGTTTTTCTCTAATACTTTTCTATTTAACAACGTTTCAACACTGGTAGTTGTAGATATTCTACGTAGTTTGTCTTCCCACATCGCCATGGTTTGTGTATGGGAAATTGATTTTTGGTGTTTTGGGAAACCAGCTTTTGCATCAGTGTCGTTTTTCCAGTTTTTGAAACCTGTCGAAGTGTAAGAAGTTTGTTTGCTACCATGAGGCAAAAATTGCTGGCAAGGATAGCAAAACGCAGCATCTTTCTCCACAGAATACTGCAACCATTTATATCGCTTGAACCAGTCCGCTATAAAGGCCCTATTATTTTATTTGGGATATATGTCTAAAATAACTTACTTTATCGGTTCTCCGATTTGTGCAATATCAAAAGGAATACCATGGCTAATACTACCAACATGTTTCACCAAAGCTGTACTGAGTTCCATAGCATTAGAAGTAGCAATTGTATCTTGTGCTTGCATCTGTTTTGGGGAATGTGGTTCATCGAGGTCAATTTCTTCTTCAACTCTTCGCTTTTTACTAAAGAAAGTCCGTATATCCATCTCAAAATCAATCAATCAATCTGCAGTTCACAGCAATAAACTAATAATTGTGTCGTTAACCGACTGAAACAGCGTACCTACACAACACTAAAAACATCATAGACAAATAACCTCTAATCTGCTTATTTTAGTTTATATGGGGATTCCCCATACCACATTGCAATACCGGCAGAGCTTCTACACTAAAGTCCCTAGGTTTACAAAGTACCACGGTTCATGACGCCTGTTTTCGAGCCAAAATGGCGGTTTGACAACTTGTCACTGCTTCTCACCACTTATTTACAAAAATATTGCCGTCTTGTTGCCTATGGAGTTCCAGAAGAAATGCTTGACTTTCGAGCCAAAATGGTGACAAACCGCGGTACTTTGTAAATCTAGGGACTTTAGTGTAGAATAAAGTCCCTAGATTTACAAAGCGGGAAATTTAAAACTATGTCGTTCAATTGATAACATTACATCAAAATTTCTTTCTCTTTTCTCGTGGTACTCTGAAGAGTCGAAAGCTCTTCTTACTGCTATTTTTGCAACTCCAAAGGTAACAAGACTGCAATATTTTTGTAAATACGTGGTGAGATGCAGTGACAAGCTGTCAAACCGCCATTTTGGCTTGAAAACAGGCGTCATGAACCGCGGTGCTTTGTAAATCTAGGGACTTTATTCTACACATACTTCAATTGCCATCTATGGGCTGAATAAAGAATTAGTACACATCTATGATTGTGACAAACCGTGATTACTTCGGAATTGTTTAGATGTTGCTACGCGAATAATAAATTTTTTTTTCATCATGTCATACAATGAACAAAGAGTTTACAGGCATTTTTTAAAGCATTGGTATTTTAAGGTAGGGCATTGCCCCACTATGCCCCCCCCCTAGCTACGGCCCTGCCAATATGTCTAAAAAGAAAAGTTTTCGATGCGTGCTGCCGGTCATGACCTATAGGCTATGGGGCAGAAACACTGACTTTGACCATAACATCTATTAACAAGCTTAGAACAACACAGCTAAGAGATCACGTTAGAAATGAGAACTTGCGCCGAAGAATAGGCGTTTCAGACGTCATTTCTTGCATCGCCAGACTCAAATGGAACTGGGCTGGACACGTAGCCCGAAGGAGAGATGGAAGGTGGACGAAAAGGCTGTTGGAATGAAGACCTCGAGCTGCCAAACGGAATAGAGGGGGGCTACCAACTCGATGGACGGATGACATCAAGAGATTTGCTAATAACTAGATCCAGGCAGTACAGGAAATAATAGTCACATAACTAGTCAAGACCACGCAAGATGGCCAGTGAGGGTGATGAATAAACGACATAAAGAGAATTGGGGGAAGTAGATGGTTTAAGGTGACCCAAGATGAAGAAAAATAGAAATATATGAAAGAGGCCTTCATCCAGGAGTGGACAACTGATGGCTGAAGAGAGAGAAAGAAGTATTTGAAAATTGAGAAAGATCAGAATTGAGCTATTAGCTGTCTGGATTAGAACACGAATTCAGAATTCTGTAATTATGAAGATGTGATTTCAAATATTTTCTGCTACCACATAATAATCAATTTTTAAAAGGAAAACCTGATTTTATCATTTGCCTAGCAATAAAACATAGCAGATTTTCATCATGAATTGAAGCAGAGTCTTTTCCATAGAAATAATCTCCTCTGTTATCATGCACTTTAAAACACGTTTTGTTTCGATAATTATATTATATTATAATCAATATAATAAATACCAATAAATCAATACCTTTGCTATGAGTACCATTCTATTCATTTTATACGGACATGAAAATCACCCCATAGACATTGTCAAAACTTTTCTTTGTAGTTTTATGTCTAGTGTTAGAACTAGCTTGAGTTCATTAAAAATATACAATAATCTAGCGATGAGCAACAACTAAAACTAGAACTAACACTATCACTAGAACTAACTCTAGACCTAGAATGGGCACGTATATTGAAAGGTGTATTGAAAAATTTATATAAAAATGAATATCATTAATTTTAAGACACCTATATATTAATCGGTTATAAAAAAGGTAATATACATAAATAAAAAATCGCGATGAAATTACATCACGTAAATTAATAAATCAACCACAAAATCACCTTCAAATTAGCCACGCTACTTTCTAATAAAACAAAACCTTATTTTAATTTGATACAATTTTGATCTTGAGTCGTTTTAGTGGGTGTGTTAAGAATCTTCAAAAAGGCGTTCTTAGGCGTACTCCGATTATTCACTTAAACAAAAACCACCATTCTTTTATAGTTGTTCTAACATTTTCGTTGTTCTAACATTTTCATTGTTCAATATTTTCGTTTACTTTTTAGAGTCATGACGAAAATGAATTTTTATTACACCACCTTGGTAATAAATCTGCTTGTGATTGTTGCGAAAACGTCTAAAGTGGATTCGAACGCGGCTGAACGTTGCCCCGGAAGTCCGGAAAGGGGGCCGTGCAATCGGAATTTTTACAAATGGGCTTACGATCCGAATAAAAAAACATGTTCGATATTTATTTGGGGAGGATGTGCTGGAAATGATAAGAATCGGTTTGATACGGAAATGCAATGTGTTCAAGCTTGTATAACAATAAACGGTGAGATACAAAATTAAAAAAATTCTTTTAAAATTTATATATGCCGTTTAGATACCGATGATGATATGAATGCTGTTCCTAAAGAAAATCGCGGTCCGGAATTAACGTTTCAAGAAACCGGAAACGAAACGACCTTTATGTTCGCGCAGGCTAATACGTTTATTCAAATCGATGGTGATATCATACAAACTTTTCAATTAAGGTATGTATTTCTTTTGGAAAAATTTTAATAAATAAAAATGTGTCGTTCCCCAAAACATTTTCTATTGCGGTTTGCAAACTTTTCAAATATTATTAGAGTCTAAGTGATTGTGTAATGATTACAAACAGTAAATATTACGTTTTATTTGAGTTCGAGTTAATCAAATTAACACATTCAAATTATAATCGTTTTTTCATCGTGGTATAATTTTCCATTATGTAGGAAATTTTTTACATTTATCATAACACGACTTAAATAATGTGTTGTTATTAGGTTAACGAGTTACAATTTTTGTTTGAGGAAAAAGTAAATATTTGTAAGGTATAAATAGTTTGTAGTTGTTATTGTCTGAGAATTAAACACTTTGAAGGTACCCTAATCTAATCGCATAACCTGGTTGTTATATTTGTAGTGCAAACTTAATTTTTTTTTGTTTAGACTGTGCCGTGAAATTTCTTTTAAATTTCGGACGCGACTTCCACACGGCTTATTGGCTTACCATAACGTGAAAGTCCCAGCTGGGGTCCAATTTCAACCGTATGCACTTTATATAATCGTCCAACAAGGGCAATTAAAAGTCGTTCATGTTTATGGAAAACATTCGACAGCTTTAACAGTAGGAAGTGGACTTAATAGAGATGAATGGCATTCAGTTACGGTATATAAAAAATATACATATTTAAAAAAAAAGAGAATAATCATCCTTATTTAGACTTTTTGAAAATAATTGTGTAACTTATTTGCATCATATGCGCGTTAGATACAAAAAATGTTATCTTCAAAACGAATCGAGATTAAGAAATGAAACTTTATGAAGTTATAAAAGAACGATTGAGGTTAAGTTATACCAAATTTCAAGTTTTTTGGATGAACGGTTAAGACGGCTAAACCCGAATGTTTTTCGTTTTGTCTCCTAGTGACCAAAACATCCAGGAAAGGTAACTGTTTAGCAGTTTCCCATTTCATGGTAAATTTTATCATGGGCTTTTGAGAGTTCAGGAGGTCTAGAAACTTCTAGAAATGTTCTTTTGTATGCTGCCAGATCCCCGTAACGAAACCATAGCTTCCTAACTTCCATAAAGCTTCTTCCTCACACTTCTCCATTCTGCCCCTTCGCATTGCTCGTAGAATTCTTCCTTCTAATACTTCGGAACATACTTTGGTAAATCCTCCGAAATGAGTTTCTGGCAAAGACCATCCATGGCATCTTTGACTGGTACTCTGGCGAATGGAGGTTCCACACCGAAACTTGGAAATCAGGATATGTAAGATCTAACTTTTGATTGATTCCACAAAATGCGTAGAATCTCTGACATACGAGTTTGTTTCACTGTAATAGGAGAAAGAAACTTGGTAAGGAACTTTGCTGTCTGGCACGTTGGAGAAATTTTTGACAATAGCTGGTTTATAGATCTTAGGTAATCCATAAATTCTTGTTGGTATCGACCAGTACAAACTTCTCTTTTGTTCTGCTGGAATTTCTGTAGATGTCATTTTCTTGATTTTCTTGTAGGTGGCTGGATCCAAAAGGTTCGTCATCTTCTAGTCCTATTCTTTCCTGTCCATGACCACGTTGTCATTTCTTTTTCTTTGATCGTCCACGAACGCATTATAATTATAATTTAATAACCTGTATATGAATAATAAAAGATTAATAAAAGCTTTGGTGATATGGGGCACTTTGTCATTTCTTTTGGATGTTGCAAATAACTTAATTAAAGCTGCACACAGTTTGCAAAGGTACATTACGCAATAAGAACAAATATTTTTATACAATGACCAATACTTACATAATTAACAACATTCAAGGTCAAGACTAGTATACACAAAGGGAAACCAGAAAAAGCGTTTGGTTGGGTTGCGTTGGGTTGGATAGAGATGGTGAACAGGATGGTTCTTGTAGATCTTCAAGTAGTAGTGCTTCTTCTTCTGTAGCTGCAAGTGAGAGGCGTTGCGGTATCTTTTTTTCTTCTTGATGTCCACTTTGCAGGCACTGCAGTATTTGTGATTTATCTGTAATTCATTGTGAAATTCGAAGTTGAACTTTCTTGTTCAGACAGCGTATCTACTGTGACCTTTGGTGAAGCCTTAGCAGTCAAAAGATTTGAATCTCTTCGGGATAATGCAACTACTGCCACTTTTACAGGCACCAAATTGCTAATAAGTGTGAATAATAAATTTATTTCATCTTCTGAAAATTTTATATCGCATCCTACATTAATTAACGCTTTTTCAATGCAATATCGTATCTCATAAAATTTCTCTAACATAACCAACAAAATCCGACAATCTAACTTCAGAGAAATTTCTCTCCCAAAATGGTTCTTTAACATATTTTTGTATAAATTTGTCATTTTTTATTNAGGATATGTAAGACCTAACTTTTGATTGATTCCACAAAATGCGTAGAATCTCTGACATATGAGTTTGTTTCACTGTAATAGGAGAAAGAAACTTGGTAAGGAACTTTGCTGTCTGGCACGTTGGAGAAATTTTTGACAATAGCTGGTTTATAGATCTTAGGTAATCCATAAATTCTTGTTGGTATCGACCAGTACAAACTTCTCTTTTGTTCTGCTGGAATTTCTGTAGATGTCATTTTCTTGATTTTCTTGTAGGTGGCTGGATCCAAAAGGTTCGTCATCTTCTAGTCCTATTCTTTCCTGTCCATGACCACGTTGTCATTTCTTTTTCTTTGATCGTCCACGAACGCATTATAATTATAATTTAATAACCTGTATATGAATAATAAAAGATTAATAAAAGCTTTGGTGATATGGGGCACTTTGTCATTTCTTTTGGATGTTGCAAATAACTTAATTAAAGCTGCACACAGTTTGCAAAGGTACATTACGCAATAAGAACAAATATTTTTATACAATGACCAATACTTACATAATTAACAACATTCAAGGTCAAGACTAGTATACACAAAGGGTAACCAGAAGAAGCGTTTGGTTGGGTTGCGTTGGGTTGAGTTGGGTTGGATAGAGTCTTGGGTTGAGTTGGGTTGGGTTGGATAGAGTCTTGAGTTGTTATGAATTTCTCTCATCATCCACGCTTTTTTGTCGTAGTTGTAATGTACCCAAGTGAGTTTATGCCCTTAAAGCAAATGGACTTTTCGATTTCCCCATGACAAATAAACGTTAACTTTTCAAATCCATTAGAGATTAGAGGATTCTAGTGGTGGTACAATGATTACTTCTGGGTCTGATGGTGAACAGGATGGTTCTTGTAGATCATCAAGTAGTAGTGCTTCTTCTTCTGTAGCTGCAAATGAGAGGCGTTGCAGTATCTTATTTTCTTCTTGACGTCCACTTTGCAGGCACTGCAGTATTTGTGATTTATCTGTAATTCATTGCGAGATTCGAAGTTGAACTTTCTTGTTCAGACAGCGTATCTATCGTGACCTTTGGTGAAACCTTAGCAGTCAAAAGATTTGAATCTCTTCGACATAGCGCAACTACTACCACTTTTACAGGCACCAAATTGCTAATAAGTGTGAATAATAAATTTATTTCATCTTCTGAACATTTTTATTGCATCCTACATTAATTAACGCTTTTTGAATGCAATATCGTATCTCATAAAATTTCTCTAACATAACCAACAAAATCCGACAATCTAACTTCAGAGAAATTTCTCTCCCAAATTGTTCTTTAACATATTTTTGTATAAATTTGTCATTTTTTATTGGAGAGTTTTTAAACAACTACCTTTAGTATTTTTTTCTATATATTCTCTTCTTCTTATAACTCTGAACTCATGCTCTATGATGACATCATCCATATACCCTCCTTCTATTTCATCATCGGAATCATCGTCGTCTCTTGTTCAACTATATCATCATCATTTTTACTTTATCCTTCTGCTTCCCCATTTTCTACATTTTCATTTGTACTTTTGGTCTTATAGAAAATATCTGTTATTGCTAAATTTATACCATGAGCTAAGCATATCTCAGATTTCAGCATCTATTAGTTTAACTATGTCTTCATTCATTTTTAAACCAAAAGTTGCTAACTTTTCTTCAACTAATGATAAACATTTTTCTGCTGATACTGAACCAATTGCACATACTAACCCGATATTCCTAAATAATCCTTCACCTTAATAATAATGATATTTATTAAATATCAGTGCTACAATACCAGATGAAGACAAGTCATATACGTTTCTACATCTATGGTTTACAAAAATATAAAGATATCTAGAGTGCACATTAATATTAATATGTGTACGGTTGGGTTGAGCGAACTGAAGTCCACTCATCGAATGTTATGCTGAATGGTGTACCTTTAGACTTTAAACTACATATTTCAGAAGTCATTTTATCTTTAATTTTCATTTTCATATCTTCATTTTTATTCTGTATTGTGGTTGAAGTTTTTAGAATATCTGCAAATCCTATTGCTCGTAAACCTTAGTACTTCTGAAAGTTCATCATTCTTGTCGTTTTTGTAATAGTTGGTAATCAGTTTTGGTTTCTTGGAAATAATTAGGCTATCAGTGTCGCTAGTAGTGGGTTCACACCTTTTCTACATATTAAATTCATGCATTGTTTTCAAATGGGTATGAAGACCACTAGTTGATCACATTTAGCAATCTGCCCATTAACCTCTATTAGGAAATGATACCACACTGATGTTTCATCATCCCCTTTTCTATGATCGATAAACCGTTTTTATCCATAACAAAATATTAGTTATTGTAACATTACTTACTTTATGAGTTGTAAACTGAATTGTTGTTAATTGTGGCTTTTAGCTTCTAACAAGTTTTAACTGGAATTGTAATACAGCGCGTCGTTTAGCAAACACTAGAACTACCCCAGAAAGCCGGATCGATAAGTTAATACCAAATACCGACATTTAAGTATCAATACCGGTTCTAAATACTACACCAATTTTGTCCGAAATCCCGGAATTCCGGTATTGTAAGCTCTATTCTTACCATAGCCATATAATGTGATGACACACAATCCTGCTGCAAGACAAGATCCATTTCAAATTTCCCTTGATTTTGTCCTGCCATTTTTATCGTTCGTGGAATGATTTCATTATCTAATAATCTCAAATATGTTTGTCCTATCAGGTTTTCATTTAATTTTTTCTCTCCGGAATTACAGAGCTCTTAAACCAAAAGGAAGTACCACAAAATTAATCATCTGTAGCACTGTCGAGTCTTTTGCCAGCAATATCTAGTCATTTCCCAATAGTATATAGTCATCTGCATCACTATCTAGTCTTCTGCCAGCAATATCTAGTTTTCTTCCAGCAAAAATTAGTCATCTGTAACAATATCTAGTCTTCTGCCAACAATACCTAGTCTTTTGTCAACAATTTCTAGTTTTTTCCAGCAGTATCAAGTTTTCTGCCAGCAATACCTAGTATTTTCCAACACACCATTACAAAGCATCACTTTCCTTATAATATATAAAACATTAAATCAATAAATATTTTCAAAACAAATATTATAAAGATGATTATTCTCATTTAAATAAAAATAATTGAACGAAAATCTTAATTTTTATAAAAAATTTAGGTTCGTATTGATGTCCACGGTGCAAGATTAATGGCAATGGTAGACGATTTAAAAGGTGAAACCGATTTGATAGGTTTAGATAAAGACAACAATTACGGCGTCTCGGCAAACGTAACATCGGTAATTTTAATCGGCGGTTTAAGTTCAGAAGAACGTTTACACGGCGTTAAATACATAATAGAGTCTTTCGTGGGTTGTATAAAAAACGTCGTTTTAAGTACGGGAAAATCGGCCTCGGAATTATTACGAATAACTCCCTTAATAGCAACAAAACACGAAAATGTCCAAGAAGGTTGTAAAAATAAATGTTACAGTCACGAGAATCTTTGTTTCGAAGGATCGCAATGCGTTAACCATTATAATATGTTATCATGTGATTGTTTTGGAACTCGTTATGAAGGCGAATATTGTGATATTTACACTGCCACCGTTTTAACACTTCGCGGATCTTCTTATGTTTCTTATAGAGTTTACGATTGGAAAGATCGTGTTCATTCGGCGGTTAATAGATTTTCGATGTTATTTAAAACTCGATTTGATGATTCTGCGTTATTTTATGCAAGCGGAGGAGATTACGGAATCGATCATTACATAGCTGCGTCGATTTTTAACAATTCTGTTTATGTAAATATTCAATTTGGTGATAAACCAATGAGTGTTGTTTTAGGAGAAAAGGCCGATTTTTCAAAGTGGAACAATTTAACAATTTTCCACGAACACAATAATGTTAGAGTTTCATTAAACGATGAATCAATCTCGTTTAATTTAACAGGAAATCAATTGCTTTACATCGATCCTGAAATTTATATCGGAGGTGGACCTGAGTTATCAAAAAAAGGAGGATTACAATCTAAAAATAATTTCGCCGGATGTGTCCAATACGTTTTTTACAACGATATTTCAATTATTTACGAACTAAAAAAGATGAATCCTAAAGTACATTATATTGGGATTTTGAGGCCGGAATTTTTCGAAGCCGATGTTGAGGTAATCCCGTTAACATATCCATTTGCTTCTTCGCATATTTGGTGGCCGAATGATTACACCGATCGATTATCGTTAGAATTTGACTTCAAAACGAGCAGTAATTTAAGCGTATTAGCTTCAAGTGATGCTAAAACTGGTTATTATTGGGAAGTACGAGTCGTAAACGATGAAGTTCGTTTCGAATTGGCCGATTCTAACAAAAACGCAACACATTTAATAACCGTTAAAAAAATGCGTGGAATTTGGCATACTTTAATTTTAAGTTACGAACAAGGAACTGTATTCTTAAAAGTTGATGATAAGTTTAAACGCGAAAAATTAGGGGATTTAACATTCGCCGTTGGTGATAAAATCAAAATTGGAAGTGGTTCTCGCACTAATTCTGGTGTAGTTGGTTGTATGCGGGATATAACAGTAAACGGTGTTAATTTAGAACCAAGATCCGTTGTGGAAAGTGAAAGAGTCGTCGGCGAAGTAACTTTAGATGATTGCCGTTTTATCGATCCTTGTAGGCGACCAAATACTTGCGAACACGGCGGAAAATGTTCTGTTAAAGAAGATAAATTAACTTGTGATTGTGAAGGAACTGGTTATTTAGGAAAAAATTGCCATTTTGCAAAGTATCGGAAAACTTGCGAAGAACTCGCTCTTTTGGGTTACACAAAACCCAATGTTCACTTAATTGATATTGATGGAAATGGGGTGTTTCCCCCGGCTCACGTTCGATGTGAATTCCAAGGGAACGAAGACTCCACCAAAACCATCGTAGAACACAATTTACCGAATCAAATTGACGTTCGATCACCGTCGGAAAAAGATTTTAAATTTACCATTAAATATCGCGAATTTAACGCGGATATGCTTCAAGAATTGGTTTCTCATTCTTTAAATTGCAGTCAATACATTAAATATGAATGTCGGATGGCTCCTTTGGAATTACATTCAGCTACGTGGTTTATCAGTTCTGCTAATCATACAGTGGATTTTATTGGAGATGTTAAAAGGTAATGATATTATTAAGTTAACTCCTAAATCTTTATACTTAATTCATATAAAATAATTAGTTTTATTTTCTTAAATATTTGTTGAATTTGCAAAGACTACATTTTTAGTTGTGGTGATCCCAAATTTTTGCGTTAAAGAGTTGCATCTATGTCTAAACTTCAATAAAGGCATTTAGAACACACTAAATTTGAATGCTGTTTAGGTAAGTTTAAGAAAGCAAAGTTAGTTTGCACTCTAGATACTGGAATCATTCCTTGGACACTGAAACTAATCAATAAAATGTAGTTCTAATCGCTGTAGAAATATCTCTTCCTCATTAAAATGACGCTACAGTGTATGAGTTATTGCCATCGTTTTTGCAGTTTCCCCTCATGGTCTCTTGATTTGCATTTTGCTGCTTAAGAGCTTTTTTGGGATTCTACCCTCGCCCATTCGTGCGACATGACCAGCCTCTCATCTGACGAATTCTGAGATAGGCCTATTCCATATCCCATTCTCCTTTATTGGACCAAAGATTTTCCTCAGTATATTTCTTTCAATATATTCTTTGTGCTCTCTGTCATAGTGTCTTCTGGTTCCTCCGCTCCTTCTGTAATAAGTTTGACTCCCAAGTACATAAACGCTATGATGTGGTTTATATTCCTTCTTGTTCTCATTTTCGTTAGTATCTTCGTCTTTTGTTTATTTATTTCAACATAAAATATCATTCCCTAGATAATGATATCATCCACTGGATGTTGGAACCAACCACTAAGTTCCACTAGATTCTGATTATAATCACTATGAAAACTATACCAACATCTAATTACTAGACATCACGCAACAATTAGTTGCAGGATCAAATGAAGTCTGGAATCATCCACTAGACACTGGTTTTAACCACTATGAAAACAATATCTAATAAGGTTTGCACACTATTTGGAGAATTAGAGTGGTGAGGAATAATCTGACTAGCATGGATTAGTAAGCGAACCTCATTTATGAACTTCGCGTATGGATAGCTAATGGTAAATAATCAAACAAAATGATTTTAAAAACCAGTACTCTGCGTGGAAATGGTCTTATAAACGGTCTTATGCCTTATCAGCCTTTAGGCTAAAAATATCATCGTTACATGGTGGGGTAGATCTGAAACAGTAAAAATTTAAAATGCAACTACGTCTACGTAAACTCTACTTAGTTGATAAGCCATAACAAGGGTTCAGCTGTACAAATGTTGGGAATATGGCTCAGAATGTTTTTGCAAATACTGAAATTTTAGCAGAAATAACATGGCATAACTTCAAATACGAGTCATAATCAATAAGTCTTCATTTTCGAATTTTTTGAATCGTTGAAACCATTCATGTCAGATTATTTCGGACAACGCATGATTTCCATAAGCTTCTGTGACTATTTGATGAGCGTACATACTCGAATGCCAAAACTTATTTATGTTCGGCCGAATTCCTCAATCATCTTAGTGGAAAGCTGATACTAGCTGATCTACGTTATCAGATAAATAAGATATCCCTGGAATCCGAGTCTTTTAATTTTCTTCAGCTCTTTAACTTTTGTTTGAAAGGCAGACTAAAATCTAAACATTGCTATAATTACATCAGTACATATTGTACATAATATTTTTCATAGTAAATCATTACTTTCAAAGAACGAACATCATATCCATAACAACTTCAAATTTCTAAACAAACATCGATCTGCAGTATTATGGATTCTCCAATTTTTTACAGCTTGTAATTTCATATTCAATTTTTACCGTTACAAAGTGGGTTTTTGAAGATTGGAACTTAGCTTACCAGTCTTTTTTGCTTTTTGAAAGTTAATCAGCTTAACCTTCAAAAAACGGGAAAGATTATGCCAAAATTATCAAGGCACAAGTATTACTTTTGCAGTGGGTTGGGTTGGGTTGGAATGTTTTTGAAGGTTAATCAGCTTAACCTTCAAAAAAAAGGGAAAGATTATGCCAAAATTATCAAGGCACAAGTGTTACTATTGCAGTGGGTAAGTTATATCGGAAAGTGTTAAAGAATAGGATTGAAATTCAATGGGATGATGTGAATCCATGAAAAAACTGGTCGAGATCCTGACGAAGACTAGGCCGTAGGGTGTATATTCGATCCATTTCGAACATTTATAGATACGCTAAGAGTGTAAATTCGATATTGCACTCATTTTCGACAACGAAAGGTCTTGAGCAGGGACGCTGCCTACCTTATTCAAACTATACATACAAGAAGTGCCAAAACATGCAGAACAAGTCTCAGAACTGGGTATAGAAATGGAAAATCAAAGCTGACAACCCTTTTCTTTGCTGATGACCAAATTGTTGTAGCAAATGAAGAGTATGATATTGACTTATCTTCTGGAAACTCATGGAAGAATATTGGAGATTGGAACTGAATAACAATATGGATAAGACAGAATATATAGTAATAGAAAATGACATGAATGATCCTGAATTACAAACAAACAACAAAATAGAAAGGTGCATGGAATATAAATATTTGGGCAGCATAATTTCGAAAGAAGGAACATCTGCTAAAGATATCCAGAACTAGGTCAAAAAAGTGTTCGTATGCTAAACTCCTTATTATGGCCAAATCATATTAAACTAAAAGCAAAAATGACAATCTACCGATCAATAGTAGAGCCAATTTTACAGACGGGTTGGAATGTTGGCAGCTCGCTACGAAAAGCAGAAAACGACTTGGAACAGTGGAAATGGACTTTCTAAGAAGTGCATACTGAGTATCAAGACTGGAACATGTCCCATATGAAGAAATTAAATGACGGACGAACACGGTATATACGAACATATAATGAGGATGTCTGAAAAGAACTCTTGTACATGTAACTCAACATAGAAGAAGGGGAGGTAAACCAAATACATCCTAGATTCAAGAGATCCGATTGACTATGACTAATCGAGCTTTACCAGAAGCAGGATGGAGGAATAGAGGCGAATGGCGATCGAAATACAGAATGCGACAGATTGTGTAAGAACCCCGCGATTAAATACTTGATTTCTCAGGAAACACAAAAAAATTTCATCACAAAGTTGGCATTTGCGCAAACGTTAATCTAATACCTATTGTAGAGATTGAAGTTTGTTTGCGGTGTAGCTAAGTAAAAATTTTGGCTAAAGTTTTAATTATAGGTGCCTCAAAATGTTCAAGTCTTTTGAATTTTCGAAAATTTCATAGATTTAGCTCTTAGAAGTCCTTGCATAAAGTACCTTACGGCTTCTCTTTTTCGTTATTACCTTCCCATGTCATCTTTAGCAAGTCTTACATCACTGAAAAGTACTAATGACATAATTTTTTTGTAATTGTGCCATTAAAAACCAATTTTTTATTGTGTAACTGAAAAAAATCATTCACCATTTAAAAGGTCTCCAAATAGGTAAATTGCAGCAGTTATTTGTTGTACACATGATGAGATACGACAAAAATCAATTTTCGTTTCCAAATAGCATAAAGCTAATTGTAGTTTAAGCTTTGCAGTTTTAGTCCCACTGCATTTTGTCTTGGCTATATATGGAGTAACTTCTCTAACTAAGTATTAAATGATTTTATATCAATTTTAGAAGCTCTCTAGATTCATTTAAATCTTCTACAAGGAATTTATTAGAAACAAAAGTTGTAGCAACTAATTGTCTTAAGCTAGAGACATTTTGTTATCTCCTCACCATAATCGCGGTGGTGATCGATCAACGGCCATTGGATCATTAGTATTCGTTTATGATCAATCAGGTTATTTCATAAAACCGAACATTTGAGGCAACAAACATATTTAAAATTTACAACATTAACTACATTAAGAACATTACTAAATGTAGCTTTAGAGGACACATTGCGATTGATTCCCATATACTGACATAGCATCACAAAGAGAAAACTTTTTATCAAAAAAATAAAGATTTTCCCGTTGATTTTGTAACGACATCTGAAGATGAAAAGTTTTTTCGAAACCGGTTATGTTCTAACCTATTAAATAAAATTGTTTGAAGAAAATTATCTTCAAAATATTTATTTAAAATAAAAAAGTTGGAGAATAATTTTAAGTTTAACATCTAAGTGACTAAATAATAAAATTGTTGTAGACAGGAAACAATTTAAAACTTACTAAGAGCTCCTAATAACTATAATAATAGTCTGTTTCGTAACTTTATTTTCTAAAGACCAAGGTTAAACATTTCTTTTTTTAATTTATTTTCATTATGTTTATTTAAATTTTTTAAAAAACAACTCTTTTTGTATTTTTAAGAGGAACTTGTCCGTGTTCGCTTGAAAAAAATTGCGAAAATCCATCACAATGGTGCAACTGTGATGGTTTAACAGACGATAAATGGACATCGGACGAAGGCTATTTTACGACGAGTAATAGTTTGGGAATAATGGAAATGGTTTTCCTTCAACAACCTGATTTACCGCCTAACGCTCAAGCAAGAATCACCTTAGGACCATTAGAATGTGTAGAAACCAGTAACGTATTTAAATATTTTTTTTAGAATTTTCGACTAATATAAATTCGGATCGATTTACTTTTTAATTTTAGATACACAAAAATACGTGGTAACTTTTACAACCAGTCAATCGTACATCGAAGTTCCTGGTTGGAGAAAAGGTGATTTAGCGTTTTCTTTTCGAACAACGGGAAAAAAGGCCATTTTGCTGTATCAACCACCGATTCGACCAAATTATCCCAGTTTTATGGTCGCTTTAACAAACGGTTATTAAAAATTTCAAATTTTTATTGTATTGAAATTTATCGAATTTTTTTTCAGATTTCCAGCTTACTTTTAATTTTACTTTGAATACTGGAGTTTCAAAAGAATTGGTTATCGTTTCACATCGAAGATTAAACGGCGGGGAATGGCATAAATTATGGATTGATTATAATAAATATCATGTTAGGTTTATGATAAATGAAGATTCTCAAATGGAGGATTTAAAACCTGAAGAAGAGTTTGGGCCATTTGAGGGATCTATGTTTATTGGTGGTGCTCCTTTGTAAGTTTCTATTATAGTAAATACAGGGTTTCCCAAAACTCCTGGGACGGAGCTATATGTTTTGAAGGAGTGAAGAACAAAATTTGGGAATTACTAAAGACTCACAAAAGCTACATTCTTAGATAGTTTAGAATTTCCATGCAATGTGGGGTCTTTTTAGGGGATGACCACCCTTACATTTTTAAATAGCAACCCCTGTAGAGTTTTACCTTATTTTAAAGGTAATGAAAAAAGAAACACAACTCCATATTCAAAATCCGATATCTTAATTCTTTCACGAATTATGAGGGGTTGGCCACCAAATGGGAAAATAAAATGTTTTCATGCTTTTTTGCACTTTTATTACGATTTTTATAACAAATAATGTTCAAATTGTCAACCTTCTTCGGTTTCGCAATAACTCAAACGCTCATAGATGGAATTTTGAACCATTAGGAGGTTATCCCAAGTGATATTGGTGGTTCTTCAAGTATGCGATTTTCCAAATCATTGATTGATTCTGGTTTTGTTGCATACACTCTACTTTTCAGAAATCCCCAAAAGAAAAATTGAGTGGTGTTAGATCAGGAGATCGTGGTGGCCTCTCAATGTCACCTCTATTACCAATCCAACGGTTTGGAAACGTACGGTTTAAAAAGTCTCGAACTGCGCGACTAAAATGTGAAGGACTACCATCTTGTTGGAACCACTTATTGTCAATACCATAAAGGTGCCTTTAGTGCGAGGGAGATTTAGGTATTTGGGTATTGGGAGATTTGAAGAAGGGAGAATGACACTGTCACGAAGCCTATTAACTGCGCAGGGTATTTTCAAATTTTTTCTTCACTCGTTCAAAACTTATAGCTCCGTCCCGGGAGTTATGAAAACCCTGTATAAAGTATATACAGTAATATAAATAACATCATCATTGGTGGGTCTCGGCCTGTTCTAGGATCAGCGTCCACTCTCTTCTATCTCGTATCTTGACCTTCCAGTTTCTAACTCGCAGCATATTTAGACTTTCTTCCACCTAGTCCTTATATCTGCATCTAGGCTTGCCTCTCTGGCGGGTTCCAAAAACAGTTTGGCGGAACATTTGCTTTGGGAGTTCCCTGTCACCCGTTTTGATGAATTGTACAATATTCGGTTTTTCATAGAGCCGGTACAACTCAAAATTGTAACTCCTTCTCCATATTCCGTTTTCCTGAGCACCCCTGTATATGTGGCGGAGTATCTTTCTTTCAAAGCAGCCCAACAAGTTTTCATCATTTTTTGTCACCATCCAGCGTTTTGTATATTAGTACCTTAGTTTGTTTGGTTACTACGCCTTACGTTTTTTCAGTCCAAAGTAAGCTCTATTAGCCATATACAGTCTTCTCCTAATTTCTGCAATCATTATGTTATTTTCATTTACCTGGGTTCCAAGACATATACATTCCTTTTGAACGTGTATGGTTCACTAATCAGATGTTCAGGTGTGGTTAGCTGAGCGTTTTTAGTAACATACATTACTATGTATGAAAAGTCTATGTATAAAAGTCAATTATATGAAATAGACAGTGGAATTAATACTAGATATAGAACTAGAAACATTCAGGTTTAGCCATACGTCTCTAAAGATGGCTATAATAAAGAGTTTTGGCTATAACGGGCGCTCCCTTCCCCGTATTTAAACCGATTTCGGTTTAAATATCTCTCCTCAGGAGCACTTTTAGAGTAACAATACATTTTCTTTTAATAGAGACTATTTGCATCCATCAAAAACATCAGTTCATCAAGGATTAATCGGTTGTTTTCGTGGTTTGGTGGTAAACGAAGAAATTTTAGACATCTACAGTTACATGAGCGTACATTTAAGCGAAATTATTAAAGATTGCAAACCATCGTGCGTACCAAATCCTTGCAAAAACGGGGCCCAATGCAAAGAATTATGGAGTACTTTTGAATGTATTTGCCCAAATCCTTGGGCTTACAAAGGAGACCATTGTGAAATAAGTATGGAACCTATATAAAAAAAAAAAGATTTTAAAACAATTTGTTTTAGATATCAACAAAAACGCGATTACTTTTACACACCCAGATTCATATATAAAAAGGAATTTCTTAAACGGTGATAAACAAGAAGATAAAGACGTTTTAAGGAAGATATTTGTAGATGATGTTTTAATAAATTTGAGAACATACGATGATAGATCGTTGGTTTTATACGCAAACGATCATTTAAATAATTTCATGCACATTTCTTTGTATAACGGAACTCAAGTTGTTTATCTGTTTAATCATGGCGATACAATACACAATATTACCGTGGAATATTTGGAATTAAATAGTTCCAATTCTGTGCAAATTGCCATTGTTAGAACGATTGAAAATACCACATTATACGTTAACGATAAAAATAAAACGGTTAATATCGGGATCAAATTGTTGGAGAGTTACTCAAATAAGCCTTGGTCAAACCCAGAAAAAGGTAAAGTTAATAAAACATATTAAGGCACCCTTTAACGTATTTTTTAAAGAAATTTTAGCCCCACAACGCCCACCAGCACCACCCACTGAGTATTTCCAATTAAATTTAGGTGGATATGACACTGAAACACTACTAAAAGTTTCTGATAGCTCCGAAACGCTTCCCGGTTACGTTGGATGTATTCGCGGATTACAAATAGGAGAAGTCTTAGTTAATTTAACTTCATTAGTTGCTGATAACGCATACGGTATGTTTAACACTAAATACTTTAAAATTAAATAACCCCAAATCATTTCTAAATCATTACATCATTAAACCTTGTATTTTTAAAAATTATAGGCCCTACTGATGAAGATTGTAATCACAAAAGTAAGTCCATTAAAAGAAATTGCACGAAAATTGTTATGTTGCCTTGAAATGTCTCAAATAATCTTTAAAAATCACCAATAATAACAAGATTATACACATTGTGTAATTAATTAATTAATTTTTAGGTGTAATACAAAATTGTGAAATGAAATGCGACACCCTTCCGTGTAAAAACGGCGGAATATGCATCGAAGATTTTCGAAAACAAATCCACACCTGCGATTGCGAGCATACGAGTTATTATGGAAATTTCTGTTCCGATGAAAAAGGCGCCGATTTTAGCGGAGAATCAATTTTATCAAGAAATTTCTTGTTAGAAGGTCCCGTTGATCATATTAAACTTCAACTGGCGTTTTCCAGCATGGATGTAAGCCAAAGAGATACAGTTTTGTTACTTCTTCAAACTGAAAATAAGTAATTTAATTATAAAATACAAATTTCTTAATTTTAATTAAATATTTTTAGTCGTAGTTATTACCTTTTGGTTGGATTAAGTCCGGATGGTTATTTGATCGTCCAAGAAGATCGAGAAGGAGCTGTTTATTCGAAGACGATCGCTAAAAGCTTTATTAAATCAGCTAGACACTCCGTTTATTATAGACGAGATCATAATGTTTCTGAATTACTTGTTGATAAAGAAGCTATCCCAATGGATCAAATTACGGTTGATACTTTTAGAAAGGTACCTCAAGTTGGATCAAATGAGGTTTATATCGGTGGACATAGCACTGATGATCCAAGATTCGCCACTTATAAAGGTTATAGCGGATGTTTATCAAGTAAGAAATTTACTTATTTTAAATTAGTTAGTTAATTATTAATTTTTTTAAGACGTTTACATCGAAGTTAACGAGCAAGTTATGAAACCTTTAGAAGAATACATGTTATTTACAAGTACAGGGTCAGAAAAAGTGAATGTTACGCGATCACAAGGTGTAAGAAGCGCGCAGTGTAATCCACATTTTGATATTCCACATAAAGTACCAACTGGACCCACCAATTTAAATATAAGCCAAGTTAGTTTCATTTAATTCCACTAAAACAATAAGTAAATATTTATTTTTATTAAGGGTAAAGATATTACTTGGGTTGAAGATGCCCCACAAAGAGTACAATATAAAAGTATTTACTCAGTAACTGCGATTGAGGAGGATGGAAGAGGAAGAATTGCTTTAATTACTTTATCAGTATTATTTGTAGTTATTATAATATGCTGTGCATATGAAGTTTATAGGAATGATAAACAATATCGGAGAAGGAAAGAAATGGAAACTGACGCTGGAATTCTTTGGTCTAAAGAACAAGCTGCTAAAATTCTAGATAAGGTTCGTCTAAAATTTCATCCCTAAAACAAAAACATCTTTATATATATCAATTGTCCGAGTTTATATATCTAAACATTGTCCCAGATATCTCTCAACATTGTAAACGAATCATTTTGAAGTAAATAAATTTTAGGCTGCCACACCAAATACTCCTCACCGACAACCATCATTAAACGGAAAAATACCTAATAAAAATGGTATTGGTGAAAACGGAAGTCAAACAAATCCCGAAGAAGTTGCTTTAATCGAAAAATTAATTCCTGATGAAAACGTGATTAAAAGAAATGATAAAAAAGAAAAAAGAATTAGTTTTAGAGGTAAACAAAATTTTTGAAATCATACTAATGTTTCATATTTACTTTGTATTAATCTAGATAGTGCCAGTGAATTAAATTGGGATACACCAAGCGAATCATTAGATCATATAAACAAAATCCACGATATAACCGAAGAAGACGAACAGGAAGAAGGATTAGATTACTTTGATGATAACGCTTCGCATACAACCACAGAAGCTAATGGTCACGATGATGAAGAACCCGTAAGTAATTTAAACAAACTGGCTCCATTGAGTAGTATCAGTGAAGTAACACTTGGCACGCATTCATCGTCAATTATGGATTTAACACCAATTAAAAACGGAAGCATTAATCATTTTTAATAATTTAACAGAAAAATTACGCTTAATTAACCAAATTTATTAATAACTTTGTGCATGAAAATCTACCTAACATCTAAAATACTGCATGGAAACGAATTCTTGTTTTTTTGGGCATGTTTTAATTAAAACCACTAATGAAATTCGTTAAAAACATCGCATCATCTAGGTACAGGTAACTCGTAATAGAATTAAAGGACCACCGACTCCTCAAAGTAACCCAAAGGCGACTCAACTACCATTCATGATTGACGAATTGAACGATTAATATAACGTAATGTGTGATTCATGTGAAGAATAACATTTTTTTCTTAACCAAGTCATCCCAGTGTGAATGAAAACGAAACTATTTCATCAGTGCTCTCTCCATTTTGTGTTTAAGACATTTTATGTGTGAATCATTATAATACACCATTTATTTGTAATTTGATCAATATAAATGTTAAGAATTAAAAAAGTGCGTTTTTTCTGAAATCAATATTTAAATCAAACTTTTTTTATATTTATACATCAATCCATTAAAAATTCCATTATAAACCTAATAAACCCTTACTAATCCAAATACTAATGAAATTGACGAAAGTAGATATAAATAACGGAAATAACGTTTCGATTTTAATAGGTCAGATTCTGTCTCTGGTTTGTTTAATTATAAATATGTGGTAAAGTGAATTAATTCAACAAAAAATTTAAGATTTTGTTAAAAGAACCAAGATTGCCAAGGAACACCTAAATATGAGCATCCTGCTATTAACAAAGTACTTTAATCTCATAGAATAAGAAAATTAATATCACACGTGTGATACTACACATATGTGTGATCTGATATATGTGCTCTTGCAGATTGTTTTTCTTTGGAGACTCAATTTTCCTTCATGTCAGCTCTTTCGTTAGTCTCAACATCATTGTTTCCTTTCGTTCTTCCACTAATAACATTAATTTAGTTAATACATGTATGTATACATTGAAGTTAACACTTACCTTAATATATCTATACTGAAATAAAGCATTTAAAAAGCCTATTCCTATATAAGGTCGCTAAAAACTAAAAGGATAATATTATAATTAGAAAAAATGGATAAGAATACATGTATTTATTAAAACTACAAATCGGTTTAATTTATAATGTCTTCAAACATCATAACAATTGTAAAAGAAGTTTCGAAATCATAAAGTATTTTTGTAATGATTCAAAATATAGGAGATATTTAAGCAACATTTTCTTTTAAAACAAATTTAAGGTTGTGGAAAAACTCGATGCTATAAAAAACGAAATGAGCGAAGAAGAAAAGAAAAAAGAGATTGAGAAAGGTGAATTTTTTGATTCCTTTTAATTTCCTATAATTAATTAAATTATTGTAGCTAAAATATCATTAAGACATACCGGAGGGATTTTAAAACCAATTTTTCTTAATGAACAACAAAGAACATTTGCAAACCCGATAAGTTATTTAGGTGGTCCAAGAATAAATTCGGAAAATAGATGGAGTTTACAAAGTACTGTATCTATAGATTAAATAAATTATGTACGATTATATGTAATTAATTAGGAATAAATTATAAAGGAATGCAAGAATAAAGAATTTTATAATTAAAATTTACTTTTATTATTATTATCATTATGAAAAGGACACTCACATTGAATCGTCGTGATATAAATATATTCACCCTCAAAGTTTATCAACAACTCACTAATAATATAAAAATAATCAATAGGAAAAAAATTAAAACGTAAAACTGAATACAAATTACGCTTAATAATTAAACGATTACTTGAGGGAGATTAGAGATCAAATTGTGTCCATATTGGTAAAAAATAAGTTATAGTTTTACATCGTTATAATATTATTAATACACCTAACGGAACAAAACGAAATCAAAACTTACTTGTATTTGGAATAATTTCCAGGGTTATGTCACGGATTAGGACCTGTATCTTTCTTTGACTCATCTGCGTCTTTATCATCACCTGAAATTAAATTAATAAAAATTATTTCAATTTTAATATAAATACAGTAGACTCGCGATAATGTGAACTTGAGTTTATGTGAACAAGTTTGTAACGTAAAAACATGTTATCGAACTAGAGAGCGCGTTATTCTTCCATATTTTAACGACCAAAATGAGTATACTAACTAAAAAAACAAGCTACTTTTCATAGATAGCTAAAAAAAAAGTTTGCAATATTTATTACAACGGAAATAAATTATCTTCAATCCCGATAGCTCATTCAACTACTCTTAAGGAAGAATATTAAACTTGTTTTAGAAAAACGTCTGTGACACAATCGTTCGTAAAGTGAACACTGGAGCAGGAAAGACTAGCCATACAGAATGAAGATCACTGTAGGAAACGCTAACATCGTTTATGAACATAAAAATTTTTTGGGGAATCATAAAGCTGAAGAATATTCCGAAGTAGTAGACAAAATGTTCGAGAGTTTCCACATTTTACGACCTAATATGAGTATCAAATAGCATTATTTGCGATGATTATAGCGAAAAACAAAGGAACGATCCCACCAGGACATCAAGGTTATGGAGGAAAGATATCAAAGCCGTTGGAATCGCCATATGATGGCAAACCACTGCTGGCAGTTGCAAGGAGACCAAAAACACCATAGAAAAACCATACAAAACGTTTTTCTTAACTCTTATTGACATATTTTTGTTTTTTATGTTTTTTATTATTTTTTTGTATCATTTGTAGCGCGTTTTAAAAATATTCTCTTCCTTTTTAAAATTTAATTTCCAGTATAAACGGATTGCCTTTATCTTAAAAAGCAGAATCAATTCAACAAAATTATTATTTTCGTATTCAGGAGACCTAAAATCATTCAATTACCTAAAATTGACTAATAAACACCATGCTGCAGAATCTGTGTTGCCCTGTGTTATTATTTGTAAATTTGCAATAATGTAAATAAAAGAAAAGGCATTCTTTAAGGTGAATTGTTCACGTTATCGCGAGTTCACTGTACTAATAAACGTATTATTTTTTTTTAATACGGAGAAGGGCGTGTCCGTTATAACCAAAAGTCCGTTATATGAATAATTTTAACAAATTCGGACAGCTATCCACACCGTTGCGTTAAATCTACGTGGCTTTATATTTATACCAAGGACGGTAGAATCTACGAGGACTGCTACATTCTGGGAACAGGTGCACAGCTCGAAGGCCCGTTCGTAACGTCAGCGCTGAATAACAATTGAAACTAAAGCTAACACTAGAACCAGACCTAACACTAGACTTAGGGTTTAGCGTTAGTTCTACTTTTAGTTCAATACAAATACACAACGATTTACGCTCAATAACAATTAAAACTAGAACTAACACTAGACTACTATCCGTGCCAAAAGTCAAGGTTCAAAAGTCAAAAGGCAAAGTTGGTGCCGCCAACTTTGCCCACTTGGCAAAGAATCAATATTTAACAGATGGTAAGGGGGTTCCGTCCAATCAAAAAAGATGGTGGGTTCCAGACAGTACGTCGCTCCTTTATCTTACCTACATAAAGAAGAAAAGGTGCGACGTCCTGTCTCCGGAATACACACCAGGACCCAAGGTTTATATACAGGGTGGTTCAGTTTTTAATCGGGAAACTTTACTAGGACGTAGTGCTTGCCAAAATAACACAAGTTTTTTATATAAACATAGGGTCGCAACCCTTTTGTTTTAGAGCTATGAGTTATCAAAAGTGAGCCAAAAATTTACATTTTATCTTTTATTTCTGGTATAAGTAAACAGTAGAATTTGAAATTTTGTATGTATGTACTACTGGTTAATACCTTATTTTCAACCATATCTTAAATTTCCCTAGCGCTCTCTAAGGGGATGAAATTCACAACCCCCTTGATTTTGTTTATAAGAACTTATTAACGCTATGGAATATTAACATACAAAATATGGGTTGTAAAGCTTATTCATTATTGGTACTTTTTTGTCTCTTTAGTTTTTCCTTAAAGATAGTAGTTTTAGTGTAAAAAAATTATTATTAAATATTATTAAAAAAACTTTTTCTGTATAGCTGGCTATGGAAGTTGTACACTTACTAGGATCTAGTACTAACTAAATAACACCAATTAATTGTGTTATTAATTGTGTTTGTCTAAACAAATTATGTTAATTTAAACAATATTACAAAATTGATACTCTTGCTTAATAATAGTCAAAAATTATTAATAAACCTCAATAATTATGAGGATTCACCGTAAATGAAACTTACAAGTTCCCAGAGCCAACTTTTAGAATAATTTTATCTAAATATGGCGGCACATAGCGGTACGTGGCACGATATTTTATTTTTTTTACACGGAAACTATTAACTTTACGGAAAATACTAAAGAGAAAAAAAAGTACCACTAAAGAATGAGCTGTACAACCCATATTTTTGTAAATTAATATTCCATAGCGTTAATAAGTTCTTATAAACAAAATCAAGGGGTGGTGAATTTCATCCCCTTAGAGGGCGCTAGGGTAGTTTAAGGTATGTTTGAAAATAAGCTCTTAACCAGTAGTAAATACAAAGTACAAAGTTTCATATACTACGGTTTACTTACAATCAAAACAAAATGTAAATTTTTGGCTCGACAGCTGATAGCTCGAAAACAAAAGAGTTGCGACCCTATGTTTATATAAAAAACTTGTGTTATTTTTTACTGTTTTCGTATTAAATGCTAAAATGTTAGGCTCCAAATTGAAAAGTGAAAATCGAACTGAGCTGTCATTACTATTATGTATGCAACATGTCCAAGTGTAGATTTAGCTAAATCACATTTTTAATTTGTTTTAGTTGGTTTAATAAAGGAATCCAAAAACAATAAATTAAAAATCAACAACTAATAAACAAAAAAACGACAACACAAAAGTACATAAAATAACAAGACAAGTAATAAAAAATATTAAAGAAAATGTTCAAAAACTTAGATTTCTTTCTTTTTAGTATTACTTTTTAGCTATTATTGAAAGCGGAACCCAACATTTCTGCATTTAACACGAAAACGGTGATTTTTATCAATATTATCTAAGAGTAATAAAAGTTTCTAAACTAAATTTACTATTAGAAACTGAAAAAATAAATGTAGGGTTATGATAGAACAAAAAAGTTCTGAGCAAACAAACTTTAGGAACAGCCTGTATAGCATTGTTCCCGCGCAAGGTTTATAGAACATAAGGTTACCTAATTCCCTATGCCTCTGTAGTATCGATTATTACCCTGCAGATTGACGTCACTGGTTCGATACAGTCAGAATAAAAGATAGCCTATACGAGCCTATACTGTGGTACAGTCTATATAAAATATTTATATATTAACCTCGCATCGTGTTGTGTTGTTCATAGAACCAGCTACGTCACTGACCCACCTTGCCTCTCAGAGGAGGAGAATCGATATTGGGTAACCTTATGTTCTATAGACCTTGGTTCCCGCGGACTGATCCAACTCATAAATTGCCTAACGATTTTACATCACATTGATTTATTCTGTACCAAATTTCAGCGCATTACTGTAAATGGTGTTTAAGATATTTGGAAAAATGTGTTAAAATTTCCTAACTTTGATGGCCTGTATCTTTGAAATTTGAAGACTTTCACTAATTTTTTTTTTACATGAATCGTCATCATTTTCACTTTAGTATATGTGGTTAAATTTGTTCCGCGAGTCACCGAAACACCCTGTATACTACACTACATACAGGATGATTCCCAACCCAACCCAACCCAACCGACACAGTCATAGGCCTTCAAAGTTGGGTCTTAAATTTTTAAAACATCGAATATCTTCGTAATATATTAAGCTAGAAAAACCAAGTTGAGACCAATTGAGGCATTTCAAAGGGTTGATTAAGGGTAAATAAATAAATTTTTACAAATCTTTTTTAACCTTTTGGTGGATTTAATACATTATTACCTCATTTCATGTGGAATTTAATTCTAAAACTTTTCTTACTCTTATTATTTTTTAAAAAACTCTGTCGTTTTCATAAAAAACCTAAACAACCAAAGATACGTATTTCGTAATGCTACTTAAAATAAGCGAAAATTCAGTAGTCGGGTATGAAATTGTACGTCAAACTTGACAAATAGGTTATAAAGTTATTTGACGACAAGGTTTTATGAAAACGACAATGTTTTTTAAAAAATAATAAGAGTAAGAAAAGTTTTAGAATTAAATTCCATATGAAATGAAGTAGTAATGTATTAAATCCGCCAAAAGGTTAAAAAAAATCTGTCAAAATGTAGGGTACCATCACCCTTAATCAACCCTTTGAAATACCTCAATTGAGTTCAATTTGCCCCCTTTGGTACACTCATAAATTTGGTTTTTCTAGCTTAATGTATTATTCAGAAGTGACACTGGCGGTATCCCGCCAAATCTGACGCCATATTGTTGCGAGGAAGCAAGGTATTGCTATTGGTGGTAAATTGAGTTGTCTCTCTCATTTATTGTGAGTTCATCGCGCCTATGGATCCACACGATGTGATGGCGGATTTTAAATCGATATCATAAAACGAGATGCCGTCAACATCAAACGAATCGACGTCAGTGTCACTTCTGGTTATTTTGTGCCAGGACCATCTTTTCCGATTTGACGGAACCTTCCTCTCCCCACATCGCTTATTTCTGTTCCTTTTTAATTTATAACTCGCTTAAATACTATCGCATCGATAGTAGAACTAAAAACATTCGAATTTAGCCGTTTTAAGAGAGTTATGGATAAACCCAAAAGTTTCTAGTTCTAGGTCAAGTGTTAGTTCCACTTCTAGTTCAATAAAAATATACAACTTAGGGAATAACCCAAGTTGGATTCTATCTATGAGGGCTAACATTTACATTTAAATATACTGATTTATTAGATAATATTAATAGTATGACTTAAAAATATTTTGTCATTGCCAAAGTCCATTCTAACAAGGTCTGTTATACTGAGGTTTTACTGTATTTTTAATTACATAAATATACCTTTTTCAGGTTTAATTTCGTCTTTAAGGACTTTATCATCTGAAATATTATCCTTATTTTCCATTCCTTTCTCCAACCTAGGTCTTTTCCTACTTTTATAACTGCGATTGTCCCTCCTTCCACCTTCTCCTTCATCCTCGGAATCGGAAAATTCATTTTCAGGTACAATTCTCTTATCCAAATCTTTTTGAGGTAATCGTTCGTCTTTATCAACCTTATCTTCGTTATCAGAATCTTCATTCATAGCATCTTCTGGGATTGTCTGAACTTGAACGCCTGGCGCGTGAGGTAACATTCGTAAATTTTCAAATAATCGTGTTTTAACTTTTTCTAAATACTCGGGTGTGTTTTGATTCGACATATTGCTTGGGCTGATATGTAATTTGAAATCGGGGCCGAAATATTCGAAATAGTCGTTGTAGGGAAGTTCATTGGCGATTTCTACGCCTAAAGCAACTGATGTTTCGTACGTCCACGCCCTTGAAACGTTTCTGATTGTATATCCGCCGCCGCCAACCATCATGAATGGAAGCCCGTAACGTTTGACGAATTCGACGCATTTTCCATGACCGCGGACGGTTAAATTGAAACAACCTAAACGGTCGCCTGTTAATGAGTCCGCTCCGCACTGTAACACCACAGCACTAGGTTGGAAAGTCTCCATAACCTTACTGATTATGGGGACAAATATACTCTCGTACGATTCATCGTCCATTCCATCTCTTAGTGGAATATTAACGGCGTAGTATTTGCCCTTTCCAGCACCTATATCCCGCAAGTCTCCAGTACCTTTATAAAATAAATTGGATTTTATTTCTTATTTAGTTTTAAAATTAACTAAAAATTCTTACCTGGAAAATATTCACCATATTTATGAAAAGAGACCGTCATAACACGATCAGTTGTATAAAAAGCTTCCTCAACACCATCACCATGGTGAACATCAATATCTATGTAAAGTACTCTTTGATGATATTTGAGTAATTCTAAGATACCCAAAACTATATCATTAACATAACAAAATCCAGATGCTTCAGATTTTTTCGCATGGTGCAATCCACCACCCCAATTAATACAAATTTCTGAAGCTTGTTTATTTAATTTGACAGCTGCAGCTACAGAGCCACCAGCTGATAATTGACAAAACTCGTACAGCCCATCAAAAACGGGGCAATCTTCTCCCACATTAAAACGTTGCATCTGCTTATTGTACTCGGACATATTATCAGGTCGAATTGAACGCAAAAATCTTATGTAGTCATCCGAGTGGAATTTAGTCATTTCATCTGCTGTCGCTTTATGAGGCCTCTATTATTAACAAAATTATTAGATATAAATCAATTTTTTAGGTTGCATATAAAGAGATGCTTACATAAATTTCCATTTTTCTATAAAGTCCATAATTTAACAGCAAATTATGAGTCATTCGTATACGGTGGGGTTTCATGGGATGTCCCTGGCCATAATAATAATTTCCAATATCGCCTTTAAAAAAAATTTATGATAATAAAAAGCCGGTAATTACAAAAATATTGTATAAAAACGAGAAATCCACGGTTAACTTATGATGGGGTCTTTAAGGGCACCGTAAAAAGTAGCATCATTATCGGCGCCATTAATAAAATCCACCAATCAGCAGTTAGAAAAACTACGGTAACCCGAAATCAACCGTGGATTTCTCGCGTTTAGATATGAAAAACCGTACATGAAAAACTTTAAATTACACCGCATCCAAATAACAATAATAATATGTACTAATTTAAATTAGTTATTTTTCATAAACTAACATAAAAAAAGTTGCGGTTAAAACCATCTTATAAAGAACTCGTGACAAGGTTAAGTTAAAGATAAATGTGATTACTTACTATCGTAATAATAGCAAACCCTTTTTTTGCTGTGCGGTTGCGTGGACATATTTATAAATCACTTCGTAAACGTTTAAAGAAGACACAATTAAAACAATTTCTTTTACAATAAACTTTTTAGTTGTTGAACTTAAAAACACGATGCGATCGCGTTCAGAGACCTCTACCACAAACGCGACTTGACGAAACAAATTGCGCATGCGCTCATATCAACCAACAATTACAGGTATCTGTAATTATTATCACGTTATTTATAATTATTTCAATAAACATTTATTTAATTTTTTAAATTTCATTCTTTATTATAAAAAAATTAATATAATTTTTATAATTTAATCAAATCAAAAGTAATTATTTTGACATTTTGATTTTTTTTTTGGTTATATAATTATTGACATTTAGATAATCAAAATTTGAAGTAAAAAATCATTTTTTTATCAATCGATAAGAAGTAAGTATTTTTCGTTATTTTCTTTCTGTGATGTTTAAAAATCACGTGATTAGCACATTCTCCTAAGTATATCCAAGGTCTGTTCAGTAAACATACTGTATAAGCTTATCCAACTCCATATGAACGCTGTTGTTATGAACGTATCCCCCCGCAAAGGCTTTGCTGTGACGTCATTGGAAGAATTGACACAAATTGACATTTCTATGTTTTTATTTATACAGTGTATTTCACTAAAGAAGTAATACACAAAAATATAAAAAAAAGATATAAAATAAAATTAAAAAAATATTAAAATATAAAGCGAAATATTAACGCTTATAATTTTATTATTGTTAGGTTATCCAACCATTATCCAACTTGACTCGGTTACCATGGTGATTAAGATCCAAATATTGCAGGTGCTTGTCAAAATTGAAATTAAATTTAGGTTTTTTTAAGGAAAAGTCTTACTTAATTGGTTTAAAAGGTTGTATTTAACTCAAAATTGGTTTATCTAGGGAATTATAAACAAGGTAAGTGGATTAAATTAAATTTATTTCTCGTAATTAGAATCGATTTAAATTAATTACAATTAACGAATTTGTTATGAATGCAAGATAATCGTAAAGAATTCGAATTGTTTCAAAATTAATAAAAAAAACGAAATAAAATTTTATTATTTTAAGGTTATCCAACTTGGTTTCCATGGTGATTAAGATCCAAATATTGCAGTTGCTTGTCAAAATTGACGTTGAATTTTAGTTTTTTTAATGAAAAACACATAATTAATTGGATTTAAAAGTTGTATTTAATTCAAAATGGGTAAATGGATGAAATTATAAGCAAGGACTTATCTTGCTTGACATTGACATTTCAAACCGGAAGTTGCTTATATCTCGACTAATATTGGAATTAAAGGTATCATGTCTGGGCTCGTTTTAAAGGATTTTTCACGACAATTACAAAAATGACAAAATTAACGTTGACATTTCTAACCGGAAGTTGATCATAACTTCATTAGTATTGAAGATAAATATGTCGAGTTTGTACTCATTTTAAAGGATTTTTAATGAAGATTACAAATATGTCAAACTCGAGGTTGATATTTTAAATCTGAAGTCACTTATCATATAATAGACAAATGGACAACTTCATGGTGTTTTTTCATGATGTATTCTTTATTAAAAAAACCTTTAAAGTGAGTCCAAACATGACGCACTTATCTCAAAAAACAAAAAAGTTTGAATAAAAAAACGTTAAATCCGAAGTTAACAACAATGAAGATAGCAATTTAATTATTAAATATTAATACCAACCTTAATTTATAATTTTTTTTATTGTATTTTTGTTTTTGTGATAAATTTTAAGACATTTTATGAAAATTAAGAATTTGTCAAAATGACATTGACATTTCAAACCGGAAGTTGCTTATATCTCGACTAATATTGGAATTAAACGTATCATGTTTGGGCTCGTTTTAAAGGATTTTTCACGACAATTACAAATATGTCAAAATTGACGTTGACATTTCTAACCGAAAGTTCACCATAACTTCCATTAGTATTGAAGATAAATATGTCGAGTTGGTACTCATTTTAAAGGATTTTTAATGAAGATTACAAATATGTCATTTTAAATCCGAAGTTAGTTATCATATAATAGACAAATGGCCAACTTCATGGTGTTCAAATTTCATTCTTTATTATAAAAAAATTAATATAATTTTTATAATTTAATCAAATGAAAAGTAATTATTTTGACATTTTGATTTTTTTTTTGGTTATGTAATTATTGACATTTAGATAACTAATTTAGTTATGTTATTTAGTTTAGTTATGATGTAAAAAATTATTTTCTTATCAACAGATAAGAAGTAAGTATTTTTCGTTATTTTCTTTGTGTGATGTTTAAAAATTACGTGATTAGCACATTCTCGTAAGTATATCTGGAATCGTTTAAGCGCATGCGTAAACTGTAGTATTTCTGTCGCCATTAGTCATCATTATTATTGTGTTTTGGTTGTGGTGTTCGATGTTGGTTAAATGTCCCTTTAATAAATCTTAAAATAACCGTTTTTTAATTGCATGTATATAAAACAACGCAAATCAACAATTATTTTCGATGACAATTTTTTGTTGTAAAATTTGACAAGTAAGTTAACGACTCGCAAAATAATTCGCAATTTTTTGCGCGATCCTTGACCTATTTTTGTCTTTATTTTTTTTTAGTATCAAACGTCAAAAATGTCTAAACCCGAATCCACCATCGAGAAAGATCTGCAAGCTCTTGAGTTAGAATCCGGATCAGCTGTGCGACAACTTCAACAAGATCTCCCGAACCCCTTTGAACGTCGTAAACGCTCTAAATCTTTAAATTCTTATCCCTCATCATCATCATCGACAGTATCCTCTTGTGGTTGTCGGAAAAGTCTTCCTAAATTAAGATCCGTTTCAACATTTAAACACAACGGGAAAAAGAAAATACTTCGTGATCCCGTACTTAAATTAGTTACAAAGTGTTCTCATCCGGTGAGTGAAGTAAACAAATCGACAGTGTGCCCTAATATTAATAGGTTATTTGGACAAGGGAGCTCTACGAAAAATGATCAAGATTTTAAAACGATAGTACAGGGTTATGAACAGTTAAGTTTGGCTAATGTTACGGATTTACAAGACTATTCTCAACCAAGTTTTCAAAGTGCACGATCACCATCTGCTTGCTCCTCATCTTCTTTAAAACAAAACGAACCAGCTGCTAACGTACAAACAAGTTGTTCACATCAAGCCAGAATGAGCGCGGTGCCTCCTTGTGATGTTACTATCAATGAATTGGCTAGTTATTTTGAGACTTTTATACATATTCCTAAAAAAATGAGCTCAATGGCTGAAATGATGTATATTTAATGATTTATTTATAATAAAACGTGCATTTTGAATATAATTTTTTATTTATTTTGTTTTAATTAAACTATCTTAATATATTGAACGATTTGTTGTAGTGCGTCATCGGTTGCGTCATCAAGTACAATGTGTTCCTGTTCCTAAAAAGTAATAGTTCCAAGTAAAAGCAATTGTGGGACATTTTAATGGCCCTTCTTTACTATGGCTCATACCTAGAATGGTCGCCATGATGTTTCCTGCCACACAGTGGTATAGTCTAGATGGCCCACCTAATGGACTACTCCAATTTAGTTATGCAATGATGGCCCACTGTGTGGACATGCCACTACGCAGTTAGCTACGCATGATGACGCCCTTTGATGCGTGTTGTCCGACCGCTCCCAAAGCCATCCTTTGCCATTACCATCACCATTATCCACCACTTATGGTCGCTTCAGGCCATCACCCCTCTACATAATGGCGATGGCTTGCAGTGGTCCATGATAAGCCATAGTGAAGAGGGGCCATAAAAGAAGCTCCAATGCGATGCAAAAACTGACAACATGTCAAACCTTGATAAATGTAGCTATCAAAGTTTTCAGTACGCGAATTGTTTGCATTATCAGTCTTACTACACTCAAAGATAAATTTACAATTTTTTTTACGGTGAGAACATATGGAAATAAGCCAAGAACCTTCAATGAACGATATTTTTCTGCCCTAAGAGACACCGCACGCTACAGACTTTTGATCGGCCGATAGTTTGGTCGGATTGGACTGAACGTTTGCACACTGTTCAAACTAAACCATCGGGTCGTAGTCAGTAGACTACGATAGGGTTGATTATTATGATGTCGCGAAGAGCTGTTATAATTGCCCTTATTATAAATCGAAGAAAGAAAAGAAAGTAGTATGCGCAGAAACCGGAAACCCCAATATTACACTGATCGATTATTGCGAGGACAGTTTCGCACGCTGTATTATAAACTACCAGAGTATCCCAAAAAGTCTTTTTATATCTTTTTATAAAATGAGCATTACCAGTTTTAATAAACTTGTTCAATTAATTGGACCAGTCATAGCAAAGCGGGATACAATTTTACGACGTGCGATATTTGTCGAAGAGAGAATTTGTCGTTCTTTAGGTTTATTTTCTATTTTACTTCTACAAATTTACTAATTCAGAATCATCAGTAAAATTTGATTAATAGGAGTTGACCGTGTCGTTTGAACACTCTGGAGATGTAATGTTGTGTATATCCAGTATGCGAGGACAGCCTTCCTCTGTTTCGTTGATTTAACGAAAACGTTCGACAAAGTAAGGATAAAAGAATTAGAACAGGGCAAACATTACAAAGTACAAAATCACGATTGAGTGCTATGCACATCATGCCGTCCTCTTGGCTGATACTGAGGATGGCATACAGTGGTTATCACAGGCATTTAACATTGCAGCTGAGGAAGTGAATATTGAGGAAGTTAATACTGAGCAAGGATTATAAAATCAGATACTGGTATAGGCCGTGCTAGTAGGACGTCGTGGATTCAGCGAACCGAATTGTGTATAGAAAATATTGGAAACAACTTGGAACACTTGCTTCATCAGTTTTAGTGTACGTTCTTTTACAGATATTTTGCCACTGGATCTAGTTTTCAAACTATGTCATTCCAATACATTACTGGATCATCAACAATACGAAATATTGTAAAATTCAGGAACACCTACTTCACAAACTTCTAACCACAGATTCCGTCCGAGTATTCCTTCATACTTTTCTTTATATAGCGCTGACTGGATACTGGCATACTGGAGGATACTGATTTCACTAACACTGGAAATGTGGAATCAAGAAAAAGAACTCGGCGAGCAACTGTAACTACGGAAGGAAAACAAATTGCGGTATTAGCTAGCGTTGAGGTAAATCCTCAAGTTAGCACTCGACGACTTGCAATTGATACCGGAATATCGAAGACCAGCATTTTAAGAATATTAAAGCGCAACAAGTATCACTCATACCACATTTTATTGCATCAACAGCTTTATGGAGGTGATTTTTAAAATCGAACCTTTGGTTGTGGGTTGAGGGAAATTCTCGGATGAGTCTACGTTTACAAACACAGGACAAGTCAATAGCCATAACATGCACTATTGGAGCGTTGAAAATCCGAAATCGTTGCGTGAAGTAGAACATCGTTAATGTTTGGTGTGGCATAATTGGTGATAAATTGATCGGTCCATACTTTATTTATGGTATGTTGAATGGGGAGAAGTACCGACATTTTTTAGATGACGTCCTTCCAACGTTACTTTTAGATTTGAGCAGGGAACAAAGACAAAATATATGGCTGCAAAATGTTGGGTGTCCAGCATTTTCCATGTCCAGCATAATAGTGTAGTTTAATTATTTTTTGATATATAAACAATATTTAAAACTATTTGAATAAAAAAATGGTTTCCCCCTTCGCACAACTTTCATTTGGTTAATTTTTATGTAAAATGAACTGTTTTCGAGATAATCGCTTGTTTCACGTTAAATGGACCATCCTGTATATGCCGTAATGGTAATTAAAAGACCGACCAAACTATCCGCCGATTAAGAGTCTCTAGTGTGCGGTGTCTCTAACATGTTTTTGTATTGATTTAAGGAACCCACCAGTGCACAATAATTACAATAATTTTTATTAACATAGTGTTACGAGATACATCTCTTTTCAAAAATTATTTGAAATCAGGGTTGGACTGATTTAAATCGTGATTTTAATCAATGATTTAAAGAAAAAACAAAACTGAAAATAAAACTACACTTTATTACAAAATTAAGAAAACATTTAATACAAAAATTAACATTCATTATAATATTTATATAAGAAAATATTCCTGCCTTTTCCACACCTAACTTGTTTCGTCTCTCAACAGAAACTGATGAACAAACTGCACATAAAAATTGCTTTAATATTGGCAGTACCTTCTCTACTTCAGCAATGTGTTTTAGTAACACCCACCATTGTAAAGCACTTACATTACATGACTTAAGACTTCATCTGAAAACATTACTGATGAAAATTTTTGCTTGTAGGTTTATAGTTAGCGGTAGTAAACCGGTATTGGCGTAGATTTCCTTTGTTTATTGTATTTAAAGCCTCCTCTTTTTTTACGTATATTAACTTATACTTAGTTTTAGTAACATCTAAGATATGGGCTATGTAACGATTAGACGTAAGTGCCTGCTTATACCGTTTATCAAAAATTTACATTTGTACTGATGATAATTTTTCTTCAAGTAATGTATTTAATTCTTTCCAAACTTCCACTGCGTCAGAGAGGAAAGCATTCTTTTTTTTTTGTAATTTGTCAAGTACTACAGTTATAGGTATTAAGACATCCAAATAATCTTGCGTTGAGACCAATGTTTGAAACTTTTTTGTAAACTTTTAATAGTTTCTCTCATTGGCTTACATATACATACTTCCAAACTCTGTATAAAAATCTTTTACAATACAAAATAAGGCTACCCCTTTCCCCAACCTCCCCCTGCCACCCTACGTCTCCTCGCTGCCACCACCCATCCATCCATCTTTTCTACCTCTTCAACTCTCTTAGGAACAAATTTTTTAGGATGTCATTTAGCCCCTTTTTTCAGAAACAAGTTTAAAGTAATAAAAAGTCTTAATTATAACAGAGCGTAAATAAAAAGCGTATATAATAGCATTAATAAAATGCGTTTGACATTTAGGATGTCATGTTACAACTTTCATCAAGAAGAAGTTGAAAGTAATAACAGAGCATTAATAAAAAGCGTTTAACATTTAGGATGTCATGTTGCCCCTTTTTAGAGAAACAACTTTAAAGTAATAAGAAGACTTCATTATTACAGAGCGTAAATAAAAAGCGTATACATATATAGATGTCATGTTGCAAGAATTACGTTGAAATTTTAATAAAACTATCAACTGTTTCATGTGCTGTATTTGCAGAATTACGTAACTTTTTATTGCATAGGTTTATGAAATAGCGGAGGACAAGGAATGTTAATTGTTTACAAATATTGTTGGATATATCAGGATGTGAAGGACAAAAATGTTGAAGAAAATCAGTGTAGGATATCTGGGAAAAAATATTGGGATGACGGATAATATTAGGAACATTACGGAAAATTTTATCTTTCATATCGGAAATAATGTTGATGAAAGTGGATGAAGGGTATTTCAAAAGAAAATTGGCATCTCTCGCGTTATCCCGTAATTCTATTAAATCATCAACATCGGTAATGGTATCAGAACAAAAGAACTGATTACAATGCTGACATTCAAAATTTATTAGTTTTTTAATCAAGTACCCTGCAACATAAGCTGACTTGTTAAGGTCAACTTCAAGTAACGATACGGTACTCTTAGTGTTGGTAGATGATTTCGTAGTGGTAATTGAAGAAAATTGAACGGAAGAAGATGAAGTGGGATTCATAGGATCACTGGGAGTACAGTTGGAAAGAAGAATATTATAAGAAAGAAGGAAGTCTTCGCCATCATCTTCACAATTCATGTTACTGCCACAAGGACCAGTATTATTTAAAATTACTGTTTTATAAGCATCGACGAACTGTGAAGGTGAAGGCTTTGTGTTACCACCACATAATCCTCTAGCAACACCAAAAAGATTCTCTAAAGGATCTTGATTTAAAGATTTCAAAGTGAGATACTTGAAACCATTATCCCTTAGAAAATCCCATAAGTGCCTTACATTACTAATTGTTGCTAACAGTAGTTTGATTGTTGGAGGATTTCCTACACACTTACCACTGGACAAAAATTTGATTGTTTTTAACTTTTTACTAGCATCATCCCAAAATCGAAGATGTTGTGAGCTGCTAGTAAGCTTGCATGCTAAAGGTTTTGAAGAGGTAAATACAGAATTAAGCGAGTCAAATAGGTCGTTCATAAACTTTACAAATATCGCTGTTCCCGCAGCATCCATAACGCCCGTCTTCGACAGAATGTTAAGAAGGGAAGCAGTGGAGTTACTGAAAACTTGCGCTGCAAGCTTTACTTTCATCTTCTGCCGAT